TGTATGTAACAGTAACATGATTATTCAGATTATCCGTTTGAGAATTTAATGAAATCTTATTTTTTTACGTATGAAACAAACAATGTATGTCTGAATTGTAAATATTAATTTTGTTACTCTTTTCTTTAATCGGATTAGATTGGATAATAGTTTTCAAGTTTCAGCACTAATTGTACACATTTTATTCATGTAATGCGAGGCTCGGTACTAAAGACGCTTTGATCTGGCGCGACCTATTTTTGCCCGGGATAGTCTTCAATTTCATTGTTACACGTGCCCGGCCGGGCGGGGAATAAATAAGCTCAATAGCATCTCACGAAAGACGGAGCCTGCGACATGCGCCTCTGTATTTTGATCACTCCTGAAAACCTTAAATTACATTTATTTTCAGACTACCTATATGAAGCGAAGCGAGTCTATGTTGATAGTTTTTATTATATTTTTCCATCATTGATCAGAAATCAGTATTTATTACGACTAGACAGACACCACATGGTTTCGCGCTGTTAGTAAGCCCAAGAAAGTTGTGAACATGTACAGATTGTGTATGGTACTATAGTAGATATTCGTTCTTTGATTATGCAAATTTTTGTATTTTTTAAAAGCGGATACAATAATGTCTTTCTATCTCTTCGAAAGATTATTGTAGACATTTAAGTAAGTTCAAGATGCGTTGGCATTGCATCTTGGAGTGGTTCCATATGATTCTACGAGTAAATCTTCTTACAATTAAATATTTGGTGTAAGCAAGTTCGACAATAGATAATAAAGTAGTTTTATAATCAATTTCGAAACAACGAATCAATTGTTTTGTTATACCTTTATAAATAGTTCAACGCAAGTTTCAAATACGTATTTTTCTTCCTCTCGTTAAGTCTCGGCCGGTTCCAAAGTATATTTTCGATACGCCAGCTGTCCATACTGAAATGCCAAGCGGTTTCATTCACCAACGAGTGTTGCATCATGATTATTTAGAGTAACTATAAAACTTTACGTAATTCACGGACTCAGGGCAGCGGGTTGGTTACTTGGTTCATCATCTTTTATACGATAACAATTACCATTACGATCATGATGGTTATGATCATCCAAGTTTATTTGAAATAGAGGAAACACGTGATTAAGCGTGAGAAATATTTTTATGATTGGGACACGCAGCCATACTCGCTGTTGCACGAATGGGCAAGTCCGTCCGGGGAATTACCACGAACTCACAGAAGACCGACGTGAAGTGAAAACTCAGAAGTATAACGCTAATGCGTTTAGTTTGGTGAGGGAGGTAGCCGGGGCTCACTTTATTATAAGGTATAGAAAGGAAAGGCAAATAACCCTAAGCTCACTTGCCACATTCTCACATAAAAAAAGGATGTAACAAGCATCCTTAGCTGCATAGTGCATGCTAAGATGGATGCTTACAGAACAGATTTATTATATTCACGCCGTACTAGTTGCGCATGATAGATCAACAAGTCGCATGTGACATTATGTACCAATAGTGACAAGTGCATGTAACGTCCACTGGAAATGCAATCTCGTTGCCAAAAGTATGTATGTCGCGTTCGGACAACGAAAAACGTGTGTAGTGTATATGGCCATGAGTTATATTTAATCTAGATGATTATTCTCATTTTCAATAAATAGAATATTCATATTCCGTTTTCTGCCTACTGCGGTAGAGACAAACAATACGATAAGCTCGTTCGGAAAGTAGCTCGGATTCATTGAAGATTGGCGTAAAGTGGAAGTAACATACTTTTATTTATAATGCACAAAAAGATATACAAATATGGACTTGATACCATCGTCATTATCTACCTGATCTGCTCAACCTTGGGGTGAAGAAGTTTAGGTAGATACATTGATTATAAGATTTAAAACAAAATCGTAAAAATTTTGAATAATCTTTGTTATTATATGTACCAAACATAAAATAATATACTAGTCAAATTTAAAAAAGAACTGTTACCATGCAATACTAAAAAAATACATAATATGTACTTTTGAACAAAGACATCCGTTTCGCTTCATATTGGAGGTATTTTAAAGGTTCGCTTGCGATCCCATAATTACTAAATATCGGGGGACCCGCCTACTAGTTTGCCAATTTATTTCTAATAAATACCATGGTTCGGTACAAGGTCTGCCCTGTAGCAACATAGTAAACATTTAAAAAAAAACAACTGGTAAAGTATATTAAGCTAACACGATGAATTTATTCCATCCTTCCATCTCGGTCAATAGTCGATATAAATGTCTACTAGTGTTGATACCGCATCTATAATAAATGAAATGAAACATGAAGCCTTTTTGTATGAAAGTCGTCATAAAATGAATGTATGTTATTCAGCTTAAAGCTAGGGCCCTGAATTGAATTGAACTACTACTAAAAATAAGTTTACATCAATAAATACAATAGGGCCAACTTAAACTATATCAAGAAATAACCGAATAAAGAAATATTTTCAAAGGCGTACTACAGTCTTCATCAGTACATCAGTCTACTTCCATTGTTTCTATTACTTTGCAGCAAGGGAGTGACCTTAATGAAACACTACACCTTCTGGAGCTATTGTCTGCTTATACGCCTCTGTGCACTTAAATGTTTTGATCTCATCCTGTCTTAGGTCTTAAGATAAAAGCTACTGACCTTAGAATGAAAGGATTCACTCTGATTCTTTCTTAGTCTTAGCTCTATTATTTGTCTCTGTAATGGGATATATTACATTGTTTACCCGGAATGTTGATATAATATTGAACAGTGGCACTCTAATCGAATCTCAGTTATGTACGATACATGGCGGTTGGCTTAACCGGTACCAAACGCACACAATCAAGGAATGCACAATTTATATATTGCAGATTGAAAGAACACTAGTTGTGTGTTTCTTTGTGCTATAATTATCTATGACAATTGCATGACAATGATTATTTAGTTGATTTGGTGCTATAAGTTTCATACAGTTTATTGATATAATATTTACAAGATTTAATCTATCTATAAATGCTATCTATCTATCTTGTGCTATTATAAATCTTATTGCAATCTAATCTTTTGTTGTCTTAATGTTTCAGCCTTGGTGTATATATAGTGTTTTATATTTGTCAAGCCTTTTAGTTTCAAATAAATCGGTCTAAATTTGGTTAAAAATCTCGAAGGAGCGTATTCCATTTCAGCGGATTAGATGCATTTCCTTCGTAGCCCGGGATAAAAATGATCTAAAATAAAATCGTAACGTTCGAGTTAAGTTTATTTACGGTGAAGTAGAATGCTCGCTTTGTTTTTCGTTTCGTTAGTGTCTTAATTTAACACGCTATATTTCTATTTTAATTTGGGTCCTTTGTGGGGTTTTGATTTCGTAAAGGCCTTAAATTTGCTTTGGAATGATAATGAAAAATTATCTTATATCGGCTTATTTTAACGGCAAACTAGAATTTTCTGTTTTCCCGTTTCTCATATGGTATTCCTATAATATCTGAGTACCCGGAGGACCGAGCTTTGCTCGGTTTGTTTTTTTTTTGGTAAATCGTGTATTTTGGAAATTACATTTAGATACAAATTACTGAGTAATGAAATATGCATAATATTTACCTTATCTTACCGACGTAATAATAAGAAAATATGAACTGATGTTTTTCACAAAAGAAAGAACTTTAAAAAAAAGGTAAAATAATAACAAAATAACAAATCGAAAAAAAAAATAAAAATAAAGAAAGCAATGATCTGGAATCGAAAAAAAGTAAAAAAAAGAGTGTTTAAATGATCGTGATACGACGAACCACGGCCGTCTGTTTTGGGGCCGCCCCATTACCGACCGAGCTATTATGATTTTCTTTTGCGGCGAAATTTACCGTCATATTCAAATGATATTTTTCATTCCCTGAAAACAGGGATAAAAGGACATTTTCTAAAAATGAAAGATAGCTAGATCGATTTTTCGCCCTCGAATATACGCACATACTAAATTTCATGAAAATCGCTGGAGCCGTTTATATATATATATATATATATACAAGAATTGCTCGTTTAAAGGATAAGAGATAAGATATAGTGGTTCAGTCATATTGTAATACAACTGAGTCAATATTAGTTGTTATTATTATTAATATACAATATCGATCTTAAGATGCTGGTAGGAATTGATACCCAAGTTTTGGTATGAATTCAGAATCCAATAGAATCGATTTATTATTACCAAATGTCCAATTTTTGAAGACATTCGCAGAGATATAGGAAGTGCTTTGATATACTCGTACGTTTATCCGCTTCTAACAAATCGGGGCACATTGAATATTGAGCAACACTCGGAGCTGAAAACTAATGATCTGTTTGCGAGCATCTACTTACGAATATTTTATTTATGTTTATACATCTATTGATGTTCTGTGTGACTGTGTGAAAATAAGTCAGTGACTTTTAATTTTGATTTAGTTTCAATCCGCAAAGTCTTTCACGCTGTCGCAAGCGGTAATCGATGATGGATAACATTGGGTTATTTAGTATTTCGGTTGGGTTGCATTTAGCATCGCTGTAGGCGGTTGTTTGTTGTCTACGTGCCTCGACCGTGCTCAGATGTATGTACATAGCTTGGTTATTCACCAATCCTATCTACCTGTAGTGTATAAAGGGGTAACGTACATAGCTTGGTTATTCAGGAATTAACCACCGATCAAAGGGGTGACAACCGTGTAAGCGGTTCACCTAATGACAACCTTGACACCCGTAGACACAACACCGGAGACGTAGCAGGTGTGTTGCTGACTACTGAAAGACTATGCTTGCTTTTGGTAGACCGTTATCCTGCCCGTTCTGGCCTATTAGTGGTGAAGAAGCTTTTATATAAATTTGTTGTAGCGCCACGAAACACCTTTTGCTATTGCACGAAAGAGCGGTCTCGTCTACGGAACCCCAGCTTTTCACATAAAAAAATTGTCACTACCTCCCGAGCTAATCAGCCTACGAAAGTGTGGAGCATAGCGTCATCACAGCAATTGCCCCGCAGGAGCAGAGCGGGGGCGTCGTTGGACGAGCGCTTCGTCGCGTCAGAGGGCGCGGGCGGCGTCCGCTTGACCGTTTCCACTGCACGCACCGGCGACAGCGGACTGTACACGCTACAGGCGAGTGTCCCGACCCACTATTGTACATTCATTGTTTTACACGAGGAACGGTTGAATTGATAATGGCGGGCCTAGTCGGAATAAACCGACTAAAACCACCACACAACCCCTCTGCAACCTCCCTTCCTCCAGGTAAGGTGCCCTGGAAGATAAAGCGCACTTTCCTACTCGGCCCCTTTTGTATGGCAAACTCGCCAGAAGAAGGGTCCAGGGCTTGTCCAATCAATGCGTCAGAAGTCGTAGTCGTCGGTAGAAAGCGAAAACTATATGTATAACTTAATCGGGCACAGGGTCCGCGGATGTTCTAACGCTTTTTCGAATACAAACTGGTTAGAGCCAATGTTGTGCTTAAAGCTTGCCACGTATACTTAATATTTCCGCCTGTTTATGATCGAGGTTTAATATTCAAGCGAAAAATTTAGCAAGTCTTTATGAAAGTTATTTTAGATCGTCGGTAACACCAGTCCATCGGTCGAAAGATATCCTCTAGGTGAGAGAATTCTCATGCAGGCCAGCAATGCCGCCGGGAGGGATACGCGTCGCCTGCGACTGGAAGTGGCTGCTGAAGAGACGCCGAGCGGTGATAACCCGCCGACCTTCTTACGGCGTCTGCAGGACCTCACTGTCAAGGTCGGCACCAGAACGCGCTTCCTCGTCGAAATCGTCAGCCCCACGGAGTGCAAGGTAAATATTCTGCGAGTTACAACTGCTATCACAGTAGTCGCTCAGCCAGCTATGCTTGGTGTTGAAGATATCCTCTGTAGAACAAAGATAACCAATTTATCCCAGAAGATTAATAAGCTGAAGTGGCAATGCGCCGGCCATATAGCTCGTAGCAGCGATAGCCGATGGGGAAGAAAAGTTCTTGAGTGGCAGATACAGATGCAGACTCACACTAGATCGAGTGAAGACGTGTGCAAATGTGTGGGAAGTCGATGGAAGCACGATTTTGGCAGTGTGTGAGGAAGGCCTATGTTCAGCAGTGGACTCAAACCGGCTTATATGATGATGATGATAAATAATGTACCTGTTCAAATTTCGCGGTCTGTGGTTATCACATGAAATAGACTTACACATAAGTGTTAAAGCTAATTTCAAAGCTCGAATTTCATTATAATATTAAATAAATCTATTCATTCTCCGTTTTAATATAAATTATTGCGCGAGATGTTGAATTTAATCATCTGGGATAATATGGAGGACGGCCAGTAATACAGGGGTTGCTAAAAATATCCCATGCTTGCTCGAAATATCACCGCCTCCCTAATAAGAATAATTTAGTACTATAAATTTAATTCGGCAGTTTTATATACTTTTTTTGCTTTACAATGGTGAATGTAAAAGATTTATCTTTTTTTTCTGAGTTGTTTTATATCACTACCTCTCTTAATTATTACTTTAAATGTTATGTTCTTTGCTATTTATGATAAATAACCAAATATGAAGTTTAAACATATTTTTTATCTTTGCAAGGCGTAAAGAACTAAGACGGCGGCGCGTTTTTATGGAGTATCATAATATCTTGAATCATTATGACGGCTAAGTTCAAAAGTTCGGACCGGTCCACTAGTTCATTATTATTAAGGCGTAAGCTTTGATTTATAATTTATGAATGCCGTTTGCCGGTATTGACACTTATCATTACTTTCATAAATAATAGAACGCGCCCTCTTTATTTTTTGTAATTTTTAAAGTTGTCCAGAAGGTTAATTGTAAAATATGTGTTTAATAATTTTTTTACGCAAAGTACCGAAAAAAAATTCATTCAAACTCACTTCGCTGGAAAGCAGTCCGGACCTTGAACATCGCAGGAATGTGTACTCAATGACATAATTCTTCTATTTTAAATCTTCGACTCCGCTGTCGTATTTATAATGTGTTTTGAGTAACACCACAGGCTAAGAACTGTTTACGTTGACAACGGTTTAATGCATGTGTGTGTGTAAACAATGTGGGTATCTAAATTCATTGGACGAGTCCATCTCTTTTTTTTAACACAATACACATAAATACATCTAATCGGTAGCGCAGCTGGCAAATGTGATGGAGTTATATTTAGATTGCATCGTAATATATTCATTCTATTTATATCGGAGGTAGAATACATGGATGTTATAAAATTGTCGAGCATTTTAAATAAATAACGCCTCATTTTATATTGTATCACTAAATGTTCTTCTATTTTTGGATGGCTGGTGCTCAACTATTAAAGCAATTGTAACTATTAAATAATAACCTAATTTCTTTATTATAATATTTCTTTATACTGAAATATTTTCTTTTATTTATTTCAAAAATATGCAGGTTTCCTCCTGATACCGTTTATATTCACCACCGAGCACGTGATAAGACAGCACTTCAAATTAAACATTTCTTGGTGCCGGCACCACGGCTTGAACTCAGGTTGCTCGAGTATGTTGAATAAAAAGCACGGACACTGTGCTAACACGGCTGTTATATAGCTTTGGTACGTACATCCGTACATACATTAGATGAAAGTGTTAAGAGTATGTTGATGACATCCGTCAGGTGACATGGTACCGCAACGAGCGGCGGTTGATGGAGGCTGAGCGAGTTGCGCTGGTAAGGGACGGCAACTTCTGGTGCGCCGACGTGGCCACGGTGAGCGTTGACGACGCTGGCCGTTGGACCTGCACTGCGGAGAACGCAGGCGGCAGGGCCAGCTGCTCGGCGCACCTCAACGTCCTCGGTAAGTCACGAGTCATATGACCCGATGAGTGACTTAATTCATGACTCGATGCGAGACTCGATGCAAGACTCGATGCGAGACTTGATGCGTTACTCGACTTGATAGATGCAATTACACGACACGTCTTGTTAGCGTCAATTTGCCCCACGACCCAGCTCGCGCGGCATATAATATCAAAAAATTTACTGTGAACAATTTTCGCAACGCGGCAAAAGACCTTCAATCTCATGGCTCATCTTCGGCTGGTTGTTACCTTTTTATAGGCCGATACTTAAACATTTTAGATTTTAGATTTATGCTCTGATTTTTTAAATGATTGGATGAGCTTTTTTAAGTAAGTATAGTAAAAACGTTTGTTTAATTCTTAAAACTGCGAGTTGTGATGTTTAAAAAATTAACAGCTTCTCTTTAAGGTGATTTGATAATGGTCAGTAAATGAGCTGTTAAAATTAACCCTTGAGCAGATGCTCAAATAGCTAAAGTAAAATAGAAGCATATGTTTCTATTAAGACTTATCAAATACAAACTGTTTGACTTCAGCCTGATAACAAATTACAAAATGAACAAAAACAGTTGAAAACGACTAATATACGCCAGAATAAGACTGAAATATGGAATAAGTTCATTATTCCATATTTCAGTGGCGGACCAACTGAGGGACGGAAGAGGCCCAAATGCCTACACGTTCCCTTGAACAAATCCTAAACAAGGCTTTAATAATATGCTTTGCTAACTATCTTAGGGGCGGTCCGAAATTTGGAGGTCCCATACAAATATATTGGCATATCAATAAAATACGAATAAATAAATACTGCCTGAATCGGTAATTTACAATTTATACAAAAAATTACTACTACTGCTAATCATTCTATTGTCTTTACAGGTTTAGATCTAGTTTCACTTGTCTGTTGTACTTTGTATTTTTTACTATCTTCGGCCCTTTGCTAAAAGATATATTGTTATATAGATATAGATAATATACATAGTAATAAAACAGGTAAATAATAAATATATTAACTTGATTTAAAAATATACCTTACCGTAACCAGCAAGTATGTGGCTATAATAATAGCACATAATGTGATTTCGTGCCTATACTGAACTCCTCTATAACTTCAGTGGAGTCAATTTCAATTTCAAACAAACAAACTTATCAGAAATGAAAATATATACCTATACACATTTGATGTACTACATTGGTCTAAGTTGAATTTAAATTTCACTTGCAACATTTTAAATTAACATAAACACATACATATAACACACAAACGTGAAGTGAATAAAAAGCTTGTAAAATTGGGTCAACTTTTAAACTAGGGCTCTCATTCAGCTTTGCCGCCCCGAGCTTCTGAAGGGCTTAGTCCACTGCCCTATCTATGTAGAAAACAGAAGAAAAGAAGTGTGGAAAAGTAGTTAAATATGAATTTCTCTTTAGCTGTTTTTAAAAAACTATGTAAAACATTGTCTATTTTTAAAGACATTTTATAAATGTAAATAAAATACACAGTTCATCTGTTAAATCTAGGGAAAACTACCGTAAATAAACCATGGACATAGATTTTCATATGTGGTAACGCTTTGTGTACGTAACTTAGGCAACAAAACTAAACTTATTACAGTTTCTATATTTTTAATCATGGCCTTATGTAATGCAATTTTCGTAATGTTCTAATTATTGTCATATCGAACTACTTGTTTCTCTTCAACTTACCAAATTGAAATTATGTATTTTATGTCAACGATATTATATTATATAAATAAGTGAAAATTAAAATATTGCTATTAGATATAACTTTAGTCATCGAAAACTTAATTGTGTCAAAGTATAAAAACAAAAACAATATATGCTAATTAATGTACAATAAGGGACAATTGAAGAATTTGTACACTATAAATGGTAGAAAGATGGTAAACTTATTTGTCTACAAAAATGTTAAAATATATGATGGAAAAGTTATATATTTACAGCATTTGAACCATATTTTATCAAATCACTTCATTCACCTCCATCCTATCCTACAACGTCTGCATCTTTTATACACAGTTACATCCTGCATCGCCACTTACGTGGGATGGCAGTCAAGTGCTGGCTAGTTCTAAATAAAAAAAAAACATCCCTCGCTCAACGTCCGCCGGGAGGAACAATTGAGTCTGATGTTTGGAACTGTCGTTTGCAGTGCCGAAGGCGTACAAAAGACCGGAGTTCGTCGAAGAGCTCCGCGCCTTGCTCACCGAGCAGGGCACGGTGTCGCTGGAGTGCAAGGTGGTGGGGGTTCCGACGCCCGTGCTTCGCTGGTTCAAGGTGATCTAAGACACTTCGCTTACTAAGGTCTCAGGGAAATAACCCCGACCAGATTTCGAGCTGGGCGATGCAACTACAAGTGACACCCCTGAAGATACCTGAAGCCTGTTGTGGGATATGAGGGTGTGTGCTAAAAACTCCTGGCCACACCGAGTGCATTGAGAGTGGTTACTGGATCTCTTTGTACTAGCGACTTTTTGTAATAAGCGTGAACATACGTCGATTCATTATTTTAACGTTTTAACTTTTCTCATATCTTCATACCTTTTCTGCTTGGAGGCAACACGAGATGACTTTTTGTTGCCGATTCCACTAAATTGGACAATATGGGGCCGACTACGATCGTCCGAGAACACAGTATCCCTTTTAAAGACGGGCAGGGGATACATATGAGCTAGTGACTTATAAGCCTTTAATAATAAATAATATAATAAATAACTAAGAAATGTATTTGCGAGGACCTATGCTACTAGCAATGCATGTTCTTGTTTTACTCTTTGCGTAGAATAATGTATATTGTATAATATATATTGTGTGGGAATTAAACGATTAGTCGCAAAACAGAAATAGTTAATATACTGTTAAGAGGTCCAATTAATTACTAATTAGGTAATATATAATTACATATTTATAGGGCTATTGCGTTTGAAGAAGTGCGCACTAATTCGCATCTCTCGCAGTCCTGTGACTAACTAATGATTTTATGATTGAATTATTTTAAAGGATAATCCGTAACATAACGTCGATGTCCAACGTTAAGGTGAAGCTAAATTCATCCCTATTTGCCATCTTAGTAGTCCCATTACGCTAATCCTTGAGTGATATATGTTGTATGTGCGATAGTTGTGTATGTATGTCGTAATTCATGGACATACTCTCTGATTTCAGGACAGCCGCGAGATCAAAGCCGGTGACGTGTTCGCGCTAACAGCGAACGCAGAGGATCCGACCTCACTCGGCACTTACACATGCGAGGCCGTGAATTGCATGGGCCGCGCCTACTCCTCCTCGAAAGTTCACGTCATCGGCCGTGGCGCGAGAGATGGGTCGCTTCGACCAAACTCTGGGTGGGTCTTGGTGCATCAACAGCCTTTCTCTATTAACAGCTTGCACAAAATGGAGGCGAATTTTCACTCGACCACACTGAACAGTGATGCGTCACTCTGTTAGCGGTGGTTACATGCAAGCTATACTATATAATAACCACTATTTTAAAGTTAATTAAAGGTAAAATTTTCATTGTGCTTATATCAGCCGGTGCCGGCACCAATGCAATTGTTAATCTTAAATGCTGACATAAGGGCTGAGCGTCTGGGCGCGCCCAGATCCGGTAGACGTGAGTTCAATTCTCGGAGCGGTGAAAAACATTTTCGTTTTTTCTCGTGTCTGTGGTACATGTATAGTTGAAATTAAAATTTCAAAAATACAAATGGATTACAGAAATACACTCTCATATCTTTTTATTTTTTTAAATGATTTAATGGGATCTGCTATATAAATAAATAAATAAATAAATATTTTAGGACACATTTTTACACAACATTTTCTAGTCCCAAACTAAGCAACGCTTGTACTATGGGTACTAGAAAACTGATAAACATACTTAAACATACTTTTCTTTTGTAAATAAATACATATTATAGATATATAAAACACCCAGACACTAGAAAAACACTACGTTCATCACACAATATTTTTCCAGTAGTGGGGATCGAACCCACACCCTCTGGCGCAGGAGGCAGGTACACTACCCACTACGCCATTCGGGTCGTCATCATTGAATGTTGTACTCTTTAGTTTATTTTTGAGTCACAAATATTCCCAAATTCATCTATTTGAAATAAAAATGTCATTCTTACCGAATGCAATTCGAAATTTTAAATTTAACTGCTTTTGATATTCCATTTTAAATGGAAGATGTTTCTTTCGCAGGGGCGTAGCTCCAGAGCCTCCTCCAATATTTACGAAAGAGTTAGAGGACCAGTTCGTGAAGATTTGCGAGCATCTGACCTTGAGCTGCCATATCGTGGTGCCGCCCTGGCCGCGGAGCGTTGTTTGGTACAACAAGGAGGGCAAAATCGAACCCAGCGAAAGGTTAGTTCTCCATCTAAGTACGAATAAAACGGCACCATTTTTGCTTTCTCCAATACAAATAATATAATTTAACAAATTTCTTTTGATTATAGCGGTCGTGCTATATATTTCAGTTATGTAGAAATACATACTTAGTGTTTTCTTATACTTAGTGTATACATATTTTGAGTATTTAAATAATTATGGTAAAATAGTCACAGGATATGAAGGTTAATTTCTTTGCCTCCGTTTTTATTTTTTTTATTATTAACGTAGTTATCTGTACAAGAGATTTGAACTTGCAATCTTAATTATTCGCCCTAAAACACTGTACTGATAAGCGTTTAACGCGATGGTGTTGCAGATACCACATTATCGAGGACGGCGTCGGTGGCTACTTGCTGGAGGTCACCAGCGCCGAGTGGGGTGACCAGGGCGAGTGGAAATGCGTGGCGACTAGCACCGGCGGCCGCCTCGGCATATCCACCTGCCGCGTCACGATGGACGGTACGTTTTGCCGCACCGCAGTAACGATGACAACTTTATGACTCCGCGGCGCAGTTGCCGGTATTGGCTTCGGCGTCGGGGGTCGTGAGTTCGATTCCCACGCGGGACAACTGTTTGTGCGACCCACAGACACTTGTTATGCATCTGTTTGTTTGTCCATGTGAAATTTATGTATGTAAAACGTCTTTAAAACACAGGCTAATGTTATCCTTAAATGATGGCAATGTTTTTTTAATTTAAAAAAAAATTACAACACCGTACGCCCAGATGGGGTGGTCAGTGGTCATGGAACGCTCGCGATCGGTCGAGTCGGCTATTGTGTGCGTGATTTAAAGGACGATTGTCGACAGTCGATAGATACTAAAACATATAGATAAACTTTTGTTATAATCTAACGCATTTTGGTTAGAGGTTAGGAAGACTAGGCCGTTCGCCGGATTATCCTATCGTTTAAATTTTTCTTTAATTACAATATGCGCTCGTCAGTATGCTGAACATCAAATATCAAAATACTCGCACAATTTGAGTTCGATCCCCGGTGCCGGCACCAATGAAATTGTTAATGTTAAGTGCTGATTTGTTACAAGCTCGGCGGTGAAAGAAAAAATCTATAAGAAAATCTGTATATTTTCGAAATAGTAAAAAAAATTTAGAAGATATGTGAAGTCCGCCAATCCGCAGTGGGGTTGGGTCCATGCCATTGTGGGAGGACCATGCTCCAATACTCGCTGTACAGAGAAGGCCTTTGTCCAGCAGTGGGACATGTATAGGCTGTTACTTCACTTTTACTTATTTAATATGCCTAGGTATTTTTAGCGTCTTCTGTTCTACATCTATACAGCGTGTCGTTACAACCGCGACAATAAACGAACACACATACAGAGGTAACTTTTTAAAATTTTATTAAACATTTACATTCTTTAAACATCAATATTTACAGAGTTATTAAATATTCCAAAACAAACAAATTAAGGGTGTTCTACCCTTACGTATAAAACTGTAACGTAAAGTTCATTTGCAAAGTTCACAAGGCATATGAATGGGTTGAATGAATTTAAAAGAGACAAAACATACTGTTAGAAGGAGAGGCTTATAATGTGACGAATGAAAAAGTCTCTGAATGTATGAATCAGTCAGTTTTAGTTGTATAGAAAACAAAAATTGTAAAGAAACAAAAATTGGAACAATTTTTTTGCTTTTTTAGTATGTTTGAAAAATATATTTTTTTAATTATGGATTTTTTAACGTTTATATTTTTTATGATTATTGGCAAGTAGCGTTAGACGTGTGTGTCGCGATTGTAACGACACGCTGTATATAGAGATAAAATCATAATGTTTAAGAATACAAATTATTCATTTTTTGCAATAATTCCAAACGTTCTATGTTCCAGTGCCGAAAAATTTTCGAAAACCTCGATTTATGGAGAACTTACAAGCTGTGCTCACAGAAGAAGGACTGGTGTCTTTTGAATGCAAAGTTGTTGGCTTTCCAACACCAGTTCTAAGCTGGTTCAAGGACGGCCAAGAATTGAAACCGGGAGACGTATACCAGCTAACTGGTACCAACTCCTTAGGCTCATATTGCTGCATAGCGAGAAACTGCATGGGTCAAGCAAGCAGTTCCGCGGAGCTTACGGTGGAAGATATTCAGAACCAGCTTAACGAAGAAGAAAAGTTGCAATTGTTCTCGAAAAATCAGGCGCCGAAATTTCTCCAAGGATTGAAAAGCGTCGAGGCGAAAATTGATGAGCCATTCCGATTTACAATCAAAGGTTAGTAATAAAAGTTTAAATTTCTCTATTTCGAATATCGTTATACAACGATAACTTCGAACAAGAGATGTCGCCATTGCTTTTTAGAAATTTTTAAATTTTAATAATCTCTCGAAATTTTTAAATAAAAAATCTTAGTGCTAATCTCTGCACTTAAGATTAAACATAAAAAATTGTAGAAAAGGTACGAAAAGATTGTCTCCGCTGTGGCAATCGAACCCACGTCTTCGGCATTCGCGGCCTGACGCTTTAGTCCCTAAGCTAAACGGCTGATTACCATACCGACGAAATTGTTTGTAAGCTGGAAAGTATATAACAATGGACGCGACAAGTATTGCTTCATTTGCTAAAAAACAAAGTAGATAAAAGACGTTAAGATTTTCGTCGGCTCACTCCATTAGAAAGTTTGCACTTCTTTTTGGATGGTAGCGTTAAAAAGTACACCTTTTAATTAATATATGGTTTGGTGCAAACATCATTTATTTTTGAAAACAGTTAAAAAAATGCAATTCACAAAATATGTAGATAATATTATAAATCTTCACTTAATTTGATGTTAATAACTTTTGTTTTAATTAGATAAGATATAGATTATTAAACGGTACGTCATAGCAATAAATAGGAGTAAAGCAATATCAAGTTTGTCTAATTCATAAGTTCAAATTGCGTATGGAGAAGGACTAATATGGTCAATATAGTGTTACTGCTTATTATTTGTATTAAATTATCCTTGGATGGAGGCACATAGATTCGTTCGTTCTCAAATATCATATCTCAAATTCTATTTTAATAAAATATCGCTTTTGTCTAATTACAGTCGCTATTCCACCAGAGCCGTCTGTGCTATGGTACCGGGATGACCAACCTATAGACGAGTCGCCACGGTGTCGACTTGGCAAAGAGGAACGAGGAACATTCTTCCTTGACATACAGAATCTTGAATTTTTGGATCAGGCCGAATGGAAGTGCGTTGCTATGAACGACTTTGGGCATAGTGTTACGTCATGCTTTTTGAAGTTAACTATACCCCGCCATTATAAGAAACCACGATTCTTAGAGAATTTACAAGCAGTTTTGTCGGATGAAGGTGCTGTCAATTTAGAATGTAAAGTTATTGGAGTACCTCAGCCAGTCCTTAAATGGTACAAAGACGGAGAAGAACTTAAACCTGGCGACATTCATAGAATAATATCTGGTCAAGATGGTACATGTTGTTTGGGGACGTACACATGTGAAGCGCAAAATTGTATGGGCATCGCAGCAAGTTCCGCATCGCTTTTAGGTTTTGATGATTCAATAAAAACAAAAAGTAAGAAAAAGACCGATGAACAATCTTTGCAAAGAAACCTTTCTCTAAGTACTATTCATGAAGAGCGAACGTCACAAATGTATGATACACCCATGGGAGATATAACTTTGGATGACAAAGGGGAAATTTCGTTTTCTTTTGATGGAAAGGAAGTATCTGTTTCGCTTTACGAGACTCCTGATTTAACAGAAGAAGAAGCTCTCCAAATTGTTGAAATGTATGCTGACCAACTATCCGAAAATATAACTGAACATAACGTTGTTGAACTACCTCCACTACGGTTTGTAAAAGAAACTTCCACTTCGGGAAATCTTCTTATGGAAGCAATAATAATCGATGTTTCTCCAGATTATTTTGTTTCACCTGAGGAAGATCTTAGAACTGAAGCGGATATTGAAGACATTTCCATTGCTGATGAAAATGTGCTTCAGCAACTTTCTTTAGACCAAGATGAAGAAAAAACAATAGCTGTATCATCCGAAGATAAACCTAACCAGTCTCATAATTTTAATAGAAAGAAATCTGACTCACAGAAAAGTGGTGATGACTATTTTAGCTTATCGCGAGATCAATCCATTTCAGAAGAAAAACGAGATGACGATACTCAACTCATATCTGAAAGTGATTTGCAAAGCTTTGCTAGTGCGCACAGTTCTGAAAAACCATATATATCCATAAAAACATGTCCAGAAGATGGGTTAGAGTTGATAGAAAATATAAAAACAACTGAGATGCTTAATTCAAAACAACAGAAAAATGAATCGAAAAATACCAGTTGTGGGAGCGAAAATTTGGGAGATGAATTAGAAATACAAATTAACGCACAGGAATCAATATTCCAAAGTAAATTGAAAGAAAAAATTAATAATATCAGTTTGTCTTTAAACATTATAATTAATGATGTACAAAACCTGGAAAAGGATATTATTTTAAAATCAGAGTTAATGTCTTCCGCTGCTACAGCATCAAAAAGTTTGGAAATTATCAACAGTTTAATCACTCCTTTAACTGAAATTTACAGTATAAATAGTGCAATTATAGACTCAATAAATGAAACTAATGATGTTAGTAAAATTTTATTAAAGAAAATGTCACAAGCCTTGAAGTCATTACGACAATCACTTACAATCATTGAAAAATGTATAGAGGTCGGAGATGATAACAGAACTTTGGTAAAAAATACCTGCGTTTCTTTAATTGAAAAATGTGGTATGAAGTTGCAAGATTTAGTGAACGACGTGAAATTTGCTACAATTGATGTTTGTTTGAAAATTGAAGACGAACTAATATTTGAAATAGAGTCAGTAACGAATGAAGTGAATGCAATTATTAGTCTCACGTCTGACGCAATCAAAACAAGAAATTTGCTATCTGAAGCTTGTGAACTACAACCCGATGAATTAACATCTGAAGCAAAACATTTACAAGATACGCAAAAATGCATATTTAACTTAAAAAGGCCTCTTGTTTCGCTACTAAGTATAGTCGAAAATGCAGAAAAGGGCAAAATAACAGATTTGGTGAACGTAAATAACAGTATAGTTATTCTCACAGATATGTCAGCTCCGATTCAGGATTTACAATCAGCATTAGAACAGATTGAGTTAATGTCAGTAAGTGAAACTTTGACAAATTTTAATAAATATAACACTGATATAATAGACAAAGTTATGAACCCTGTTTTAGAGTTGAGGAACTCATTTGAAAGTCTTTCATCAGAAGGAGAAAATGAAGAAGATAATAAGGCTCTAAAACAAAAGTTATTTTCGGTAAAAAGTAATTTGAATTTTATATTTTCATACTTGAATACAATTGAAAAGAATATAGGAACCTTTGACATTTTGCAAAGTAATAATAAATTGGAAGCTCTTCAACAAATGGCTCAAATTTTAATAGCATTGGAGAACAATTTACCACGGCTAGATGGCTTCCCAAATATTAAGAATCATATGAATTTATTTCACAAACGGTTGACAAAAGCTTTAGAAAACATTATAGAGAGTAATGAAACAAAAAAATATTTGAACCTCATTGAAATTTGTGACGCCGTTAAGAGAATTAATAATTCTATACTTGAAATGGATTCTCAGGGCATAACCTGCTTAGCCAGTATAAATAATACGCTACAAATTATTAAAAATTGTTTGGAAAAAAATGTTTTTAACATAGAATTGAATAGATCTATTATTTCAAACATATTTAAGTTAAGTGTCTGTATTCAAGAAGTGTTAAACCAAGCCGATGATCTAAGTTTAGATTTTGAGTCTGAACACATTCATTGTTTACCTGAATATTTTTGTGAAAACCAACAAGGTAATATGGTTATTGAATACATAGACCGAACACTTGCAACTATAGCTACAGTAATAGCTCTGCAAAATTCAGAAGAGCGAGAAAAGCAAGTTTTACCTGCGTTGGAAAATGTTTTACCAATTTTAGAAGAACTTAAACGTTGCGTGGCTTCTTCAGGCCTAAGTGGAATTGAAAATGGAGAACATGTTTCAGAAATATCTGATTTTTCTTCCCGAGCAGCAGAAACTTTGGCTAAACCTTTGTACGAGCTTAATCAATACATCGTAGTCCTAAATGAATTTTTGTTAGAAAACCCCGAAAGCGTGAAAGAGTGTAATATACAAATTTCCAATTTTGCTAAGCCACTTAATGAATTACACAGAACTTTAGAAATCTTGCAACACGATGTTATTTCGCAACTCGGAGGTGATTGCCCACCACATGACTTTAATTTTAACATCGTCAATGCAGTACAAAATTTACAAAGTGCTATTCTTATAATTAATGAGAATGTTGGCCTGGAACGTACTGATGAAATGTCAACTCTAGATGATATATCGGGTATAAAAACGACTGCAGATACGGTTCATTCAGACCAGCTAGCAATACCAATTATCGAACAGGCAAACGTTCTACAGTTTTTAGAGCCTATGATTGAAGAAAAGCAAGAGTCGTGCATAGCTAAAGCTCTACATGTATTAAATGAACATCTTCTAGCTTTGCAAAATCCAGAAAATAGAAAGATATTGTATTCTTTGTTTAAAATAAATTCTATTCCAGCTCCTAAATCACTTCTACAAGAGATGGCGGACTTACATACAGAAATTGAAGACACTTTACACTCTAATACGGTAGAAAGTGGGGATAACATAAGAAAATTAGCAGATTTGGCTAAACCAATGCTTGCGCTCAAACAAAGTTTATCTGTAGTTGATTCTAATAACATTCCAATTTTTGAACATGGTTTCGATGTTTCATCGGACTCAATACATTCCGTTTTTCAAAACATATCAGAACTTAATAACCATTTGGAGAAATTTATACAAGTTATAATAACAGCGTCAGAAATTTCCAACAATAGTATGGAAATATCTAAAAGCATTAAGACAATAAGGCATTCATGTGAATTTTTAAATAATTCAATTACAACATCACAATTTAAAAAAGTGACGACTGAAAAAAATCTTCCTTTAGATTTAATAATGAGAGCTTTTATGGATGCTTCTGATTATTCAAAGGGGATAAATATTACCAAAATGAAGGAACTGACAGCACAGCTTCATGATGAAATATCAACTATATATGATGATAGTTTTTCAATTAATCCGCGAACAGAAAAAGAAAAACAACAAGAAGCTGATATTTTAGAGGTTTTGCTGGGTATCGAGACAGCTTTTGTGGTTTTAGAGCAACATAATTTCCTTAATATATGTGAAACTTTAAATATAGGATCTTATTATCCACTAATGACAACGGCAATTGAAACAGAACTATACAGTCAATTTGAAGATGTATTAAAAAGTACTGCAAATGTTATCCGAGAGTGTAAAGAGTATTCGGACGACTTTCCACTAGAAGTGGAGAGTTTCCTTAATAGTAGTAAAAATACGTTAATAATATTAAATTATTTAATCAAAAAGCCATTAACCTTTAGGAGTGTAACAAGACTTTATCAAGAATTTTTGTCTCTTTCCATGTCAATCAAAGAGTTTAATTTAAGTCTGTCGAAATTCAGTGTGTCAAATGAAATTAGAAGCTGTTTAACGCAATATATTGAAAACGCAAAAAATCTTTTGGAAATAGTAAGGTTGTCACTAATAAAGATATTTGATACTCACAATGAAATGGTAGTTACCGAACCCCTCCAAGGACTTTACAATAATTCCGTAATACTTAATAATTACCTGGAAAACAGTGGTTCCGCGGATATAAAAGATCTTATAAATACGTTTTTAAATGTAAAAGTAGTTATTATGAATGATTTCGATAGTTTAGACATTCATATTGCTAACGACCTAAAATTCAACAGAAGTGCTAATAATACGGTTCTGAAAAATGAGGTTATTGATGAATGGAATTCTTTTGAAACCGCAGTAAAGGAAATTCTTGTAAGAAACTCGTTAGATATTGACCATAAACACAAAGTCGAAGAAATGCTTCACTGTATAGAACATTTTTCGGACTTCAAAAATGCTGATGGATTTGCCAAGCAAATGATATTGTTGAAATGTATGTCTGAATGTTCACAAATCTTAAAAGGCCTTGTTATAAATAGCAAAAAACCACACGAGCAATTCAACGAAAAAGCTTTTCTCACAACTTCGTTAACTGGAATGTTAGTGCCGCTTAAAGATTTACATAAACAATTAATTAAGATTAAAGAAAATGAAATATCACGAAATTATTCTTTACTCATGCCGTATACAGAAATTTGTTTGCAAAATGTGGTTGAAGTAAACAAAGGTCGCATAGAATCAGGAGTATACGAAGTAACTTCTGAAGACAAAGCTGTTATTTCTGAAATATGTCAAGTAATTCAATCAATTAAAAACATTGAAAATGCTTTAAACGAAAAAGTTTTATTACATGAAAAAGACTCGTTGAACTCTATTAACGACATAGAAAAAACAATATGCACAATTTGGTCTCCAGAGAAAATAGAAGAAGAAAAAAATATACTTCCTGGTAAGTTCTCAAAATTTAATCTTTGAAGACAAAGTTAACAATTAACCTTTAATTGTGTTTCATATTTCTAATCAAGTTGTTATTGTTTTTATTCCAGGAAGCCCGATTAGGCGTATATTAACCGATTTAAAAAAGTTCATATCTTCTATGGGAATAATTGAAAAAATGTCACCAATAATTCCAATTGAGAACTTAAAGGAGACTGCCTCCATAGCAGAAGAGTTTTACAATGCATTGGTATCAGAAAATATACTCGATACTCAAATAGAGACACAGTTTATAAACGAACGAAGCATAAACAAAGAATGCATAAATAAATTACAAAAAGCCATTCAAATATCTTATGTAGAAATACTTGATCACTGTGATGACATAGCTATTACACTTGGCAGGGATGATTTGCAAGTTGTTACTCAAGTAATTGAAGATATGCAGATAGATTTATTAGCAATAATGGATCAATCTTTATTTAAAACAACTGGGGATGTTTTATTGAACAATAATTCAAATCTGGTGGGTAGCAACGAAAGTTTAGAACATGTATCGCATGTTTCGGAATCCGTAAACAGTGACAATGATTTAATAAACAAGCAACAGGCCAGCAGAAACATTCCTGACTCTGAATATCTTACTGAAATTAAAGTAAACGATGATAGTCTAGATGAAACAAGCGTTTCTGTAGCAGTTGAGAATTCTGTTATAAGTGTGCAAGCTACGGCGATGACAAATAAAGAAATTGGTAATGGTAAATTAATACTTCTTTTTTATTATGGAATAGTTAGTGAACGTCCCTCCTTATTGCATTTTTTAATTTTTTAGGTAAAATAATAAATCATATTGAAGAATTTACATCTCAAGACAGTGGCGAAGTTATTAGTAAATTATGTTTTATGGCAAAAGTCCTAAATGCCGAGCATATAATGGACTTGGCAACTGAGTTGAAAAGAAATATAAGTGAAGCGAATACACAACTACATAAATTTGATAATGTTGGGGGGAGCAATGTCAATTTGATATTAGAGCTTCAAAATGCTTTTTCTGTTATGCAAACAGTAATTCACGAAAGATTACAAGAGTTGCTACTAGACTTTAAAGAAGAGAACTTGCAATATGTAGATAAAGTCTTAACAAATTTATCCTACGATTTGAAATCCTTAAATGCAAGTTTATCTACGAAAGAATTAACAGACCAGTTTCAAATATATTTGACAAACACTTTAGGAGTGAGAGACGAAACAGATTCCAATAATACTAGTGAAGGAAAATTATCTGAAATTAATTCTTGCATGTCCACGGAAGTTTTTGAAAATACGGCTGACGTTGCAGAGCAAGAATCAACAATAGAATTTAAAAATCAAGGTGATACATTCACCTCATTACTTGAAAGGATTGAAAAAAATAATATTTCTTCTATCGAGTCCGCAATTGTAATTGCGGCAGTTGAGAATGATACTAGTGATAAAAATATAGCTCTAAACCAAGATAAAAATTACAAGGAAACTGAGGATGCTTACGACACTGATAGTATCCTGACTTTTTTGCAACACCGTATTGGTAATGCGATTTTAAATTGTTTCTTTTTTTGTTTTTATTACCAATACTTTTTAATTTATATTTCACTTACAAATTAAAAACCGATGCAATTAAAATAAATAATATATTAATTTCTTTATACCAATTTCATTTCAACTCTGATATTGAAAAAGCTTTTCAAAAGATGATGTCATACATTTTTTTGTCGCATTTGAAGTTCATTAATGCTACACAATTTATTAAAACCGTAATTCTTAGACATTTTTGACTTTGTTTTTAAAGATTATTTTTAACTTTTCGTGTTTGTAATCCTTTTTTTTAATAACTTAAGCTATTTTTTGATGTGTAACATCTGTTCTCTTGCTTTCCTGCAATCTGTGGAAGTGATTTCGTGAATAGTAACGAAAGTGAGTTACAGGAAGCCGGAGTAGTGTGCGCTTTTTTTTATTGATTTGTTTTCGTTTTATTTGACTAATGAGCTTGCACGATACTGGATTTAACCATCAGATGGTATCAAAAAATTTGTCGAGCGGTTGATACTGTTTCATGAGCTCTGTGTTAAACATAGTGTATATAGCATGTTTATATGATTATATATTAACTCATATATGTAATTAATCTTTTGATCAAACACTTATTGTCTGAAAAAAGGGCAGATCATTATTAACAAATGCACATGAGTAATTATTAGAATAAGTTTAGCAGTAGCTTTTTATAATTTTAGATTAATTTCTATCGCTGCAGAATAAATGTTTTAAATTTTGATAAAAAAAATATGGATAATTTCTTTGATATTAATAATTTCTGATTTAATTCTAATATTATTTACTTTTTCTACAAAAAACAATTAATGTTAATTCATATAATTTCAGAAAGTGTGCAACAAGTAAATTCTATGCAAAGGTTAACATCTTTGCTTCAAGAAGTTTCCGATAAAATTGATACTTCGTCTGCGGAAAAATCTGCAGAGGATATAGAAAATTTGGAAAACAATCTCGATGAAATTCAAGCTGTTATTATCGAAATAAAACGAGACTACGATGGTTCTGCAAATGATGTACTCAATGAAACTCTTGAAGATTTAGAATGCAGTGTGAGGAGTGTTCAACTTCAAATACACGAAGATAGTCCACCCGAGTTTTTAAAAGAAGCCTGTGCAACTTTACATTTATTAGTGACAAACATGGCTGCCATTCAAAATGTTGAAGCAATTCAGACCACGCCCTATCAAGCGAAACTGGAAACCATTCTTCAAACTTGTTCCAGTGATACTGAGAAAACTATTAAATTATTAGACGCTGCACTGAATTTGAGCCCTAACGATGAAGTTGAATTAGATAATCTTTTTCCAAACCTCAGTGAATTGAAGCTTATTCTTAAGTCGTTGAAGTCGAATTTCAATGAAAATATAGAAATAATCATTGAAAAAGGTATAGAAATTATGCAAAACTTGGATGTGATTGAGGATCGAGTTTTCACTTTGGAAAAAGAGCTTGATTTAAATAAGAAGTTAAATACAACTCAAAGAGATCACATGCTTGCCATAGTTCACTCTATTTACGGTACGATTTCAGACATGCGAAGTGCAATGGCAAGTGTGCAAAAACAGTATATGTTTGAAAATTACGGAAAATCATCAGAACTTGTTTTGATAGCTTTAAAGAATGTGTCATTTATGGTGCAAAATATTCGAAAAGAGTGGAAAACTTTTTCTAAATCTTTACGCAAAGTATTAAAACACTTTGAAGATATAAAATTTTATATTAACTTAGATAAAACTGCTAGAATTCCGAGTGATGCTACATTTACAAAAATAATTTTAACTGATCTTAAGACTGTAGTAAGTGAATTAATTTTAACGAATTTAAGTCAACTTAGTCCCGAGATAATATCTAATACAAAACGCCTTATCAAATGCCTTGAAAATAGTCTACTGCAAATAGAAAATCAATCAAGTTTGGAAGTCAAAGACAAAATACCAATATTTAAGGATGTATCACTTGAAGTTTGTGCTTTAACAAAGTGTATAAGAGAATATTTCGAATCAAAACAAAATCAAAGAGAACCAGAAACCAAAGTAAAAGTTGATCACAAAATTTTAGAAAATATGAATATAGAATGCAACATGATTAATGCTACAAGTGATACTGTAAATATAATCACATTGGATGAAACAAAGCAGGTTGCACATGAGTCAGTTATGAATGAAAATGATATTTCTAATAATGCAATTGAAGTTTCTTCTAAAGAAAAAGAGATCAATGATGATTCTAGTGGTAATACTTATATCAATAATGATCACAAAAGTTTAAATGTAAGCGTTCTTAATATAAAGAATGACAATGAAATTACTGATATTGTAACGGAAACATATGTGCCTAACTTTGCTTTTGCTGTTCTGCCTGAATCTATAATAATAGAAAATGTGGCTGAGACATCATTACAATTACAAGAATTGCAACCTCTTCCAGCCACATCATCACAATCTGTAGAAACTAGTCTTTTGTATGAAGCTAAAGTCACAGAGACTGTAACTGAAATATTTAATGAAGACGCTAAGGAAAATATTAATTTGAATAATACGGATAGTGCGAAAGATGAACAGATTTCTCACGTAAGCTATAAAACTCAAGAAGTGGAATCTGAAATTGGACATTATGGTAATATAGAGGATGGTACGGCGAAATATCTTGAAGAATACAGTAATAAATCACAGGAGTTAAAGGATAATAAGTTAGAAAGCGTACAATCCGAAATGGAAGAAACATTAGTAATTGACGAATTACATGTCATTAAAGACAATGATTCTAAAGGAGAATCAATGCAAAGTGACAAAGCGGAAGATAATTCTGTGCAAATAAACGATCAGGACTCAAACGTGAAAGCTACCTTTGCGGCTGGTCAGAACGATCAAATACCTGAAAACGCCAGTGAAGTCAAACTAGACGACAATGACGATGACGTACTATCTTACCAAAAAATTGGTTTACATGTAAGTGTAACGGAAGATAATTATAAAAAAAAAGATGAAGAAAGTAGTGTTACTTCATTTACTGAAGATAAGGTACTAAGTCCCGATTTAATAGTAAGTATTCAGGATGAAACCTCTACAATTAAAAGTGAAGAGCCAGCACTGACATTGTTAACCGAATATGAGCAAGACACAATCACGCCTACATTCAAAGAAACCGACATAGCACAAGAAGATAACTGTATTGAATTTTCAGAGGTTACAAAAATATCCATGGTGGATGAAAATAACCATGGAGATAAAATTGATTATTTACGGACAGCGAATAAAGAAAAGCAGGCTATTGAAAAAAATGTTTCAATTGATGATATTGTGGTTGAAAAAAGTTTAGGAGACGAAAAAAAGCTTAATATGGAGTTAATTGATCATAATGTCAAATCTGAAGAAAGTGAACAAAAAAATGGCATTGAGAAGAATTTATTCCGTAGTGTGAAATCGGATTTAGAAGAAAACACGAAATTCGACGATGAAAGAAGAAAGCAAGATTTGAAGGCAGATATAAAAGATGTTTCAGTTGAGGAAAAAGAAACATTTAATGATTATCAAGATAATATGTTGAAAAATAAAGATGTCGAAAAAATTGAAGAACTAAATGACTTACCACACGTAATATTGCTAGACACTCTGAGGACAGGCACTAATGATCATGATGATAATAGAGATAATTGTATGAAATTATCTGAAGTGCAAAGTGACAAAATTAATTCAAGATTGTTAATCGATGATACGTTTCAAAGACAAGGTTCAAATGAAGAAAATGAAAATCGGATTATTGATGTTGTAAATAATGAAATTGTAACTGACAAAAATAATACCGTCAAGGAATTGAACAATTGTAATGAAAAACCAGGAAACTTTAATATTTGTATGGAAAACAAGGAAGAGAACGTTTTAGTCGAAAATATACAGAGTGAAAATATTAATAAGTGCGTTGAAATAAGTTGTGAAGTGAGTGAAAGTAAAATAGAGAAGCCGTCTGATAACACAGAAGATTTATTAATTGGTCATAATATTGAAGATAAAACAATGACACAATTAGAGGATGATAAACATGAACTTATAAAAAATGAAAAGACTCCTGTTACCAGAGAAAGTAAATTAAATTCCAAGAAAGTTGATATCTTAGACATTGAAAATATTTTAGGCGACGTTGTTAAAAAAGATCAAGGAACGAATGAACGCCAAAACTTAAGTATAGAAGATAAAATAATAGTAACCGAAGTGATCGTTAATGAGGCAGAATTAACTTCAAATGTAAACCAGTTATCAGATAAAACATATAAAGAAAATGTAATTGAAACCGAAAGAAGCAAAGAAATCACTGGCGAAAGTAAACAAAATCTGAGTAGTGATAGTAATGACAAGGAATGTACAACTAATGAAGAAATATTGGATAAAATTGAAGTAAAGCAGGATAGGCTTTCGGGCACAGATCAAATACATAAAATGGAAGAGGATGCGGATGTAGAATTACCAGTTCAAGAAAATATAAACAGCAATATCACTGACTCTCAAAATACTGGAATTGAAAACCAAAACGTTGAAATTCAAAATACTGAAGTTAGTGAATTAAGCGATACTGTAGAAAATGAAGTGATGGAAATGTTAGGTAAAAAATATTTACAAAATGTAATTGAAACTGAAAGAAACATAGAAATCACTGGCGAAATTAAACAAAATCTGAGTGGTGATAGTAATGAAAACCAATATACTAGTCTTGAAGAAAAGTTGGATAAAAATGAATTAAAGCAGGATATGCGTTCAGTAACAGATCAAAAATATAAATTGCAAAACGATCTGAATGTAGAATTACCAGTTCAAGAAAATATAAACAGCAATATCACTGACTCACAAAATACTGGAATTGAAAACCAAAACGTTGAAATTCAAAATATTGAAGTTAGTGAATTAAGCGATACTGTAGAAAATGAAGTGATGGAAATGTTAGGTAAAAAATATTTACAAAATGTAATTGAAACTGAAAGAAACATAGAAATCACTGGCGAAATTAAACAAAATCTGAGTGGTGATAGTAATGAAAACCAATATACTAGTCTTGAAGAAAAGTTGGATAAAAATGAATTAAAGCAGGATATGCGTTCAGTAACAGATCAAAAATATAAATTTCAAAACGATCTGAATGTAGAATTACCAGTTCAAGAAAATATAAACAATAATAGTACTGACTCACAAAATACTTGTATTGATTCCCAATACGTAGAAGTTCAAAATACTGAAATAAGTGAATTAAACGAAACTGAAGAAAATGAAGTGACAGAAATATTAGATAAAAAATATTTACGGACTGTTACTGAAGCCGAAAGAACCAAAGAAATGACTGAGGAAATTAAAGAAAATCTGAGTGGTGAAAGTAATGACAAGGAATGTACTACTATTGAAGAAAAATTAGAGAAAACTGAATTAAAGCAGGATAGGCTCGCGAACACAGAGCAAAAATATAAAATGGAAGAGGACGTGGATGTAGAATTACCAGTTCAAGAAAATATAAACAGCAATATCACTGACTCTCAAAATACTGGAATTGAAAACCAAAACGTTGAAATTCAAAATACTGAAGTTAGTGAATTAAGCGATACTGTAGAAAATGAAGTGATGGAAATGTTAGGTAAAAATTATTTACAAAATGTAATTGAAACTGAAAGAAACATAGAAATCACTGGCGAAATTAAACAAAATCTGAGTGGTGATAGTAATGAAAACCAATATACTAGTCTTGAAGAAAAGTTGGATAAAAATGAATTAAAGCAGGATATGCGTTCAGTAACAGATCAAAAATATAAATTGCAAAACGATCTGAATGTAGAATTACCAGTTCAAGAAAATATAAACAATAATAGTACTGACTCACAAAATACTTGTATTGATTCCCAAAACGTAGAAGTTCAAAATACTGAAATAAGTGAATTAAACGAAACTGTAGAAAATGAAGTAACAGAAATATTAGATAAAAAATATTTACAGACTGTTACTGAAGCGGAAAGAACCAAAGAAATGACTGAGGAAATTAAAGAAAATCTGAGTGGTGAAAGTAATGACAAGGAATGTACTACTATTGAAGAAAAATTAGAGAAAACTGAATTAAAGCAGGATAGGCTCGCGAACACAGAGCAAAAATATAAAATGGAAAAGAATGTGGATGTAGAATTAATAGTTCAAGAAAATACAAACAGCAATACTACTCACTTACAAAATACTGGTATTGATTCCCAAAAAGTTGAAATTCAAAATACTAAAATTAGTGAATTAAACGAAACTGTAGAAAAAAAGGTAATTTCTAAAAAGCCAAGGACTAAAGTTAAGAAAAAAGGACAAGATGATTCAGTAGTAAGCCAGGAATCCGACATGAAAAATGAAAATAACAGATTCTTGAAATATGACGAAAGAAATAATTTAAAAGAAGAAAAAGAACCAGGGTTTAAAGAAAACGAAAATGAATTAGGAGTATCAAAAATTAAATGTATTAATAGTTCTGATGACAGAGAAAAATGGAAAGACGATCTTAGTGATTTAAATAAATCGAGGGCAGAACAGATTTTGATGGTGAATACACCTACGGAAAATATAGACGTAGTAACCGTAGAAGGAATATTTGTAACGGAAAAAGAGCCACTTATCGTGACTACTGTTTTCGATAAGGTAACAGAAGAACACAGTGTAAAAATCTGTGAAACTAGTTCAGAGATGAACCAAATTAATGAAAACTGTAAGCTCTCCGAGGTCAAGACGATAAAAGAGATCACAAGTCCAATGAAAAAACTCAATGAATCCGAGTTACCTAAAGAATACTGTACTAGTGATCGAAAGGAAGTTAATGATGTAAATTGTATAGAAGTTACTAAAAGATTACAGAATCCAAATGAAATTAAAGAATTGGAAGAAATTAATAAAGTTCAGGAAGTTAAGGAAAAAAATACTTCAAAACAAAATGTATGTAGCTATCAAGACGAATTTACGACAAGAAATTTTAATGAAACTATTAAACAGACCCAGAATCAAATAATAACTGAATCAAATTCCTTCATAGAAAATGCTAATGATGCAAAATTAAAAGATACTGCTTTGGAAGATTCCACTAGTAATAACTTAAATCCTCAAGTTTCTCATTATTCAATAAATTGTAGTCAAATTAGACAAGTTGAATTTGACACTTACAAAAAAAAATCTTATGATAAAATTCTTGATAACGAAGATATTTCCAACATGTCATTTGATAACACAACTAAATGTAAGCGTTTGTTTACAAATCGGTGCAATATCGATTATGAAAGCGAATTTTTAAGACCAGGTTATATTGAAAAAAAGTTCAATAATGAATATCCAACCTTAGAAGCGGACAGAAATCAAAGCTGTACATTTTATAAAGCTCAAACGTTGGTAAATAACGTTCAGTATAGACCATCGTCAACACTTTACTCTGATAATACTAAAAATAATGACGGAATTGAAGTAATTTCAAAAGCATTACAAGAAGACCGAAAAGTTTTAACAGAGAAACGCAAAAACACGTCACGTGATGTTAAAAGAAAACCAGTTTTCTCGACACACCTTACTGATAGAACAGCTGTAGAAGGTTCAAGAGTGAAACTTACTTGTAGTGTTTTAACTTCAACAGAACCAAAAGTTGTTTGGTATAAGAATGGTGCTCCACTTGACAACAAGCTTAAATACAGAACAAAGTTCTTGGATGGGTTACTTACTATGGAGGTACTCAATGCCGTCCCAAGTGATTCTGCTGAATATAGTTGTACAGTAGAAACCGATTCTGGCTCAGTCAGCACTTCAGCTAATTTAAAAGTTTACCCTATTTTTGAAGCATCGCCTATTCCTCCAACCTTTACACGATCCATAAGAGGTGAGACTGCTGAAAAAAGGGGTTTTGTTTCATTTTACCATTAGTATAGTTAAACGTCTTAAGACTTACCGTAATATATTTTTTGTAGATAAGTATCACTTAGCTGAAGATGAATTAGTACTTGAATGTCGAATTCGAGGCCAACCACTTCCAACAATAAAGTGGCTAAAAGACAATACATTCATAGAATCCAGTGAACGTCATCAAGCATTCTATTTAGCAGACGGAGTTTGTAGATTATCTATTAGTAAACCAACTTCAGAGGACAGTGGGAAATATACATGTAAAGCTGAAAATTCCATGTGGTCTGATGAGATTAGTCATATAGTAACATTCACTGGTAATTTATTTTAGCTATTACTTAGCTATTACTTTTTAAATATTACTTTAATTATTAACTATACTCAGACAGTATCCTTAACATTACAGGTAAAGAACGTTGGACAAGACCGCATTTAACGTCTTTAGAAAGATCAAGATTAAATCATCAAACATTTGAAGCACATCGACCTCATTTTACGAACGTTTTGACTGATTACAAAGTAGCTAAAGGTGGAACTATTGGCTTACAAGTAGAAATCAAAGGTTCTCCTGTGCGAGTAGAATGGTTGCGCGAAGGATGCTCCATTACAGAAATATATAGAAATGCTCAAACGTTTGTAGACCATGGCTTGTATACTTTGGCGCTATCAGATGTCACCGAAAAAGAATCTGGAATATACACGTGCAGAGCTTGGAGTAACCACGGTAATGTCGACATGAACGCAGCTATAACCGTCGTTGTACCAAATGAAATTGATGGCAAACCTGCAGTTATAATTGGTCGCCCACAAAAAGATATAATCATTTCAATTGGTGAAGATTTAAACATTTCTTTTAGAGTGCAAGGTGAACCTAAACCAAAGGGTAAGAATAAAAGAAATATATAGTATACGTTCTATCGTTAGCATGTTTATAATGTATTTTCTCTTGTACAGTGACATTTATGAAAGGTATTCGTGATATAACCAATAGTCAACGAGTTTGTAAAATGACATCTGACGACTATGTGAAGTTTACACTGAAGAGATCTGTTATATCAGACGCCGGCACGTATTGCATTCTTGCTAGAAATTCATATGGTTGTGACAGAGTATTCGTTACTGTAGCGGTATGTGAATCATGCGGTATTATTAATTTCACGAAACTTTTCTCCGTGCTTAACGTATGTTAACTAAAATAACGTATAATATATTGGCGTTTTTAGGTCAGACAGCGCGCTTCATCAGAAAATTTAATATCTGATTGGACATATCCCATGGACGATTCGATGATTGTGGCTTCTGAACGCCGATTTAAAAGTGAGTTTAAGGCAGCTTAAAAACTGATATCCGACTGTTTTTAAAAAATCCATCATTCATCCGATCTACAAAAGTGGTGATAGAAATCAAATCTTAAATTATAGACCTATATCCATACTACCATCATTGTCGAAGATTTTGGAACGCGTCATGTATATAAGGTTAATGAGCTACATAGAGGCTAAAGCAATATTATCACATTCATATCACTCTGACGCAGTACATGAGCTAACAGATCATATAATACATGGTTTAGAGAAGAAAAAAAAGGTTGTGGGGGTATTTCTTGATTTAGCGAAAACTTTTGACACTGTTTATATTCCAATTCTGTTGCAAAAAATTGAAAGGCTAGGTATAAGGGGTATGCAATTTAGGGTTTTTTAAAGATAATAATAATAATTTTACTGTTTATATTATACTATGTAATTACAAGATACTACTTTCGTCTACCAAGTGCCTATCCAAAGCCATAAATAATCTGTTTTTATGATTACCATAGTTAATAATATTTTAATCCGGATGCTGGGCTTTTGGTAACGCGGCTTTCGTGTGGAGTGACTTAGCTTATTGTCATGTAAGAAAAAAGTATTTGTCCACTCAAATTCGACTCCCAGCGATTCTCTCTCTCTGTTAATCTTCTAGGATTGTGAGGGACCCGCGCGTTGATTAGTTTCTTTCATATTTTTGTCATGAAAACTTTTGTAGGCAGTGTTTTAATTTTGTCACCAACATGCTAATTTGGTGTTTTGTCGTTGTCGTTGATGACTTTAACGTTATGATCTATCGAAAAGAAATTTCTAGTTCTTAGATAGTATTTTTGTCGCGCACTTTAAAATTAACATTCTCTAACGTTTTATAAAACAATTTAATTCCTCAAAATTATTGTTTATTGTTTTGTAATTTAAATAGTTGATTCGTGATCTTAATTATTCTTATTTTGTACTGTAATTCATTTTCAAAAAGTTTTTTCCAAAACTAAATAAAATATTTTTAATATTTTTTCCAAAGTTCCATTTAAAAACTTATAAAGTGGAGTATACATTTGACTACTTTATTTTATCTTTTTAATGCTGGGTAATGAGATTCGAAGTTTCGCATACCAGATGTTTCGTCAAATTTTTAAAGCTCTCTAAATCGTTACCTACATTTTATACTGTAAAACTATTTTTTATCTGAATTGAGGCCATATGTAATATATGGCCTCAATTCATTAATATTGAAGACATTAATATAAGAGTAAAATAGATGACTCCTTCGTGGCGCAGATGCCAAGGTATTAGCTTCGGCGTTGGGGTTCGTGGGTTCGATTCCCACATGATACTATTTGTGTAACCCTCAGCAAGGGGGCAAAGTTTTTGAAGACAAGTTTTCTAAAAGTCTTCTAGGGTGCAGTGGTCTTTGGCAGTTATTACAAACTCATTTCAAACAAACTAAAACAAATACAAATGTTATACGTGGGGCACACTAAAAGTTTCCGGAACGTTGTAGAATTCTGAATCTCAATATCTATAAGTCAGAAGAAAAAAATTAAAATATTTTCTGAAAACGTAGACAATAATTAAGACTATCCGACGATAAAATCAAATTCCACCAATGTGACCACAGAACGTTATTCTAAGCACGGTGCGATTTTTGCCACTCCTCCATGGTGACCTCATAAACTTGTTTTTTATCCTCTTCGACAGTCTCTTCTGGTGATGAAAATCGTTGACCGCGTAATTGGTTCTTAATTTTTGGGAACAGAAAATAGGTGCCAGGTCCAGGCTGTATGCAGGATGGCGCATAAGTTCTACGTTTTTCAGCTTCAAAAATTCGTTTGTTTGTCTGGCTGTGAAAACTAGCATTGTCGTGGTGCAAGTTGATATGGCGTTTACGATTATTTTTACGCATTTCGTCAATAACTTCCGGCAAAAAAAAAGGTCGTGTACCAGTAACTCACGGTACGACCGACGGTTATCTAAAGAAAGAGTATCCCTTTCTCCTTATAAAGTATCCTTTTCTCTCTTTTTGTTAATTTAGAAACGTGTTTTTTTTTAAATTTTAAAAGTAAATATTTCCTTCTTTTAATAGGTATTTATTGTTCAAGTCATATCTATTATTCAATAATTAAAGAAATTACCTTATTTCATTTAAAAATCAATGATGGGCAAATGTTAGATACAATATCTTGATATAGCAAAAACTGGGTGAAATAATTTGTATTTCTTCCTCGAATATATTTAGACATAATATCTCTTATTAGTTTTATTAGTTATTTATTTATCAGGCACTTCAATTTATATTAATAACTTGTTCGTAAAAGCTGTGGACGTTTAAAATTAAGGTATCTAGTTCAATGTATCACTTGGCAGTATATCAAATGCTATTAAGGCCATTACCGCGTCGATAATTAGATTTGTTTGCAGCTGTACCTAACCGTATCCCGGGAGAGCCGAGCGTTGTGGACGGTGGAAATAATTGGGTTTCGCTAGCGTGGCCCAAGCCTGATCCTGGAAACGGAGTCCCAGTACAAGCATATAAAATCGAGAGCTGGCTGCTAGGGAAGGAGGGGGGTGCGCGGTGGACGGAACTCGGTATTACGCCACTGAACTCCTTCGATGTTTTCAACCTCAAACAGGGCGAGGAGTATCATTTCAGAATAACCCCGAAGAATAGGCACGGTTGGGGAGAGTCCGTGCAAACTACCTCGCCTGTTGGAGTCGGCCTAGCCGGAGACAGGCCCGAGTTTGTGGACATTTTACCGGGACAATTGAAAGTGTTAGTGGGAGAGACAGCAACGTTAAAATGCAGTTTTAAGGGTAAACCTATTCCGGAAATTGTTTGGATGAAGAATGGTCACGAAATCGACGAAGACGACAAGCGCTTTAATACTACTTTGGGTGAATATGAATCTTCGCTAACTATTGATGGTGTCCAGATAGAGGATGAAGCTAGGTACAGCTGTGAAGCAACAAACATTCACGGAAGGGCATCGACGTATGCGAGAGTGGCGGTCGTTACAGACAGACTCCTTTGGGAAGCGGATGCTAAGCTTAAGAGGTGAATGTACATATATGTAATTTTTTTCATATGAGAAGGTGGCAAACGAGCTGGCGGATCTGTTGATGTTAAGTGATAACCGATGCCCATGAACATAATTTCAACACCCGTAGGGTTGCATGTATCTGTCATTGCCCGGTTACCTCACTCACCAGAAGAAACGCAGAAGTGTAGCATTTCCACTTCACACGGGTCTTCGGTTATGAGTCGTAAGCCCCCGGACGGATCTGCTCGTTCGTACAGCAGTTAAGACAGTTGCGTGGCGTACACAGTAAAATAGGTAAATATTTTCTTGTTCAACATTTCTATTAAAAGAGTTTAGGGCAAACGAGCTGGCGGTTCACCTGATGTTAAGTGATAACCGCCGCCCATGGACATTTGCAACACCCGTAGGGTTTTTAAAAATCACCTTTAAATAAAGTGGGCCCCGGTTACCTCACTCACCAGACGAAACGCAGAAGTGTAACACTTCTATTTTACGCCGGTCTTCTGTGAGGTCGTGGTACTTACCCGGACGTACCTGCCCATTCGTGTAGCAGTGAACACCATTTCGTGGCCCTACCACAGTTACATTTATTGGAAAAATTTGTTTATCTAGATATTATATACTGTTTTTTAATATAATTGCTAATTGATACACACTTTGACGCATTATTTAAAAATCATTAAGAACTCTACAAAATACTTTAAAAATTTTATTTGATATTTTGCATCATAATACTAGATTAAGAAAACTCAATTCCTAATTCCAATTAGCTGTTCGTAAAATTTGAATTTTTTATCGATCAATTGCCGCGAAATGATTTTTTCTAATAGTACTTTCATTTTCGCATTTGTAACAATGTTTGTGGCCATCCAGCGAGCCACTTTACAGTATGTCGCCAGTATCCAATAACATTTTACAACGAAAATTTGAACGGTCGTTGTTACGTTTGCTATTGTTATTTAGGATTTTTTTTTAATTTTAGTGCAGAAAGCACTAATAATGAAACGATCCTAGATATCCGCATTACAGTTTTGTCTTCTTTGAGATATTGCTCAACTTACAGAGAGAGGTCGGCTGACGACGGGGAATGCCCACCTCAATTCACGATGCGACTACGAGATAGGCGTGTGCAAGCCACGTATCCGGTTCGTTTGACCTGTCAAGTTATTGGGAGACCGCCGCCTGTTATAACCTGGTTCAAGGACGGCGAAGAAGTGGTGTTTGACAGTACGTTTTACATGACTTTTCATTAAAAAAAATACCCCTTTATCTAGAATTATTAGGCGCATAAATAAAAGAAAAAACGGTCAAGTGCGAGTGAATTATACCACCATAATAAAATTAGTCTTAACAAGTTGAAATTTATACCAGATACTGAGGTCTATAATCCCTATTAGCAGGGCTGGATTTAGGGGAGGGCAACCGGGGCTACAATCCCGGGGCCTCCAGAAAATAGACTACCCACACAACAGAGACTTCGGAAATTTTTTTTCAAATTCAGACTAGTAGACTATTACTAAAAAATTGTTCCTTCAATTTTTTTTTTCGTCTTTAACCTTTACCTACAACACTTTGTACAAACATGATTACATTAAATATTAACAAAAATCAATGAAAAATAATTTGGGGCAAAGGGGCCTCTACTTCTTTGTTGTCCCGAGGCGTCCAGACCACTTAATCTGGCCCTGCCTATTAGGTCGTAAAAATATCGAGGTTCTGAGTCAACACGATAAAAATATAGAGGCAAATTTAGATTCTTGCGTAAACTTGTAAGTGGGTACGAAAATTTATCTTAATTTTAATTTTTTCTTCTTTTTCGGAATTTTAGCTTTACATGTGCTGTGACACCTTGTTTTTAACTAAAATTGACAATTATAGGTCAACCGGAAGTACCCTTTAGGTTTTGGGTCGAAAACCTATACGGTAGTTCCCGTTGACCTAGATAGAATCACACGCAAAAAATGTAAAAGGTAAATTTCGGTATTTACAAGTTTTGATGTTGACGTAGGTTTGCGTTTTGACGTTAATGTGTCCCCCGATAATTTTCTATTATTATTGAATGAATGCATCAATATACTTTAACCATCTGTATATAAATGTAAATGTAAATGTTTTAGGTCGGCACACGAAATCGCAGGATGAGCTATTCCACACTCTGGAAATAGCGCCCACCCATCTCGAAGACGGAGGCACTTACGAGGCGATGGCGAGGAATAGCAGCGGCGCGATTAGCTGTCATTGCAATCTGGTAGTAGACAAGGGCATCAGGGCTTACATCGCGCCGGAGTTCTGTTGTGGAATGCAGCCGCTGTATCAGATCGGCGTTGGTACGTGAATTGTATAGTGCTACTTAGGCATTTCATTAATCATCAGGATCCAGCAGAACGGCTGAACGGAAAAAAAAGAATTGCTATTCGGCTTTCGTCTTCGGCGTCGGGGGTCGTGGGTTCCATTTCTCACGGGAAAAAATGTATAGAATGTATAGAATAAATCTATTTCGCCCTTCACTTGTCCCGCGTTGCAGTCCAATATATAAATGTATGAGTTAGAATATTTTTCGTTATTTCATATATTGGCTAGACTATTTCATTTTATAACGGGTTATGGAACGGTTCTCGAGTGCCAGCCAAGTATTGTAGACCCTACATTAAATGGAGTGAAGACCTGTGCAAGTGTGTGGGTAGTAGATGAATACAAGTGGATCAGGATTGTTGAGTCTGTGGTGGAGGCCTTTCATCAGCAGTGGACCAAAAAAGACTGTTATGATGATGACGATGATGATGATGATGCTTCTGTAATGTTTTGTTTTCTTCATGGTAAACACAATAGACAATTGGAACAAATGACAAATAACATGTGCAAAAACGAGCTTGAACTTAAAGAGACTTCTTCAAGCCGTGACAACAGGAAACCACAATATAGTAACTAGGTTAAGGCGTGTATATTATTAGAAGTTTCACCAAAGTAATCATAACAATATAGATGTGTTCGGTATCGCAGGCGAGGAGTTGAGGATATCGGCGGTGGTGGAAGCGTATCCCTCTGTCGGTGTGACTTGGTACAGAGACGGCACTCGTCTGCGCCCCAGTCGGCGGGCAGTGATGACTTTGGACCGCGACGGCCAAATAGAACTGGCGGTCGCCTCGGTCACGCACCGCGACGCCGGCATCTACACGTGCACCGCTTCTAACGAGGTCGGCAAAGCGTCGACTTCGGGCAAGGTTGAGGTTATGGGCGATAACGCGGAGGGGAGCAGTCCCGTGCTACCGACGCTCATCTGTCCAGACGTGCCGTGAGTGGCCTTAAATATTATTTTTTATTAAATTATTGTCATGTTGCTTTTCCAGCCAGCGTTATGCGATATTTTGAATGGCATCGTATTCAACAAACATACTTTTTTTTTCTAATAACATTCTAATAAACATTATATTTTCAAAAGCTTCACTGCTCATTTGTTTTCAAAGCCGTTTAAATAATATGATAACCACATTAGCGACAATACATTTACGGAATATCAATCATTATACAATGTACTCGTACAGTATGTTCTCAAAATAGATAAAAGCGACATCTGTTGCTACGATTTAAACTTTAAGCTCTGCATCGTAATGCATACGTGCATTCTCGTTCCAGATTCCATATATACGTTGTATTAGTAATAAAATTAACTTTTCAGATATTCAAAGGAACCGACCTTTATAAGAAAACCAAGGTCGAGTGAGGCACGAGAAGGCGACACTGTTATAATAGAATGTGAGGTGATAGGAGACCCTAAACCTGATGTCTACTGGCTCAGAGACTTTTTGAGGGTAACTAAATTTAATACTTCATTATCTGTTCCTTTGAATGCTTCTAATGTTGACTTAGATTTATAGTACATATATTAAGAATAAAATAATTGTTTTCCAATTGTAAATCTGTGTGTAGATTTTGTATTGAGCTTATTGAACTCGTTTTATTAATGTCAAATGTCAGATAGATGCATTTATTCGGTTTTAAAATCAAACCAAACTAACAGAAATGTTTATCTTTATGAGTAGTAAAATTTGTTGTCAAAAAAGCAATAACATTCCACAAATGATAGAGATATTTTCTTTAAATTCCGTATTTCATATTCTTTATTTGATAACTGCATTCCTGGGTACTAAATTAACAAAACGTGATTATGATTCCAATGATTATATACAAATACGAGGTAGATATGACACCAGCGCACCGAAACAGAGACACGAGAATTACGCCAATTGGTGTAATTAGAATGCAATTATATGTGTACACTGCCTATCTCTTTCCGTATCATACGTTCTATAACATCTGTCGCATTCAGTTATATGTGTCATACAATGCAAAGCGGAACAAATTTTTAAACGCCGCGCAGTATGGTCTCATTCGTCATCGCTATATAGTATAAAACAAAGTCGTCCCGCTGTCTGTCTGCCCCATGTATGCTTAGATCTTTAAAACTACGCAAAGGATATTGATGCGGTTTATTTTCTAGATAGAGTGGTGGCTCTCTACATAGAGTGGATCAGACGGAAGGTTTATATGTATAATACATTTCACCGGTGCGAAGCCGGGGCGGGTCGCTAGTACTTATTAAAATAACACTGTTTGATCAATTCTTTGCAGCCGGACTATTACCGGGACGCGTCCCACTTTAGGCGAGTTGGGGCTGGCCCCGAGTACCGGTTTGAGATACCCCACGCCAAGTTAGATTACACCGGCGCCTACTCCGTGGTTGCGAGGAACCGGCATGGCGAAGCGAAAGCCGTCATTTCGCTGCAGATCCTGGCCAAAGGTAAGCCATCGCGCCATCGACCGCCAAGAAATGACGACGAAAGACTCAATTTTTACATAGACATTAGATAATATACTTTATTCAGAAAAATGATAAATAACATATACTATGATAATTACTGAAATGAAATTTTCGCAAATTACCAAATGTATTATGTGTAAAAAAGTAGTATATACCAATAAAATGTATCCTATTTTGAAGAATAACGGTGATATTTCATTTCAACAAGTCGTCAATAAAAAGCAATATGTATTTTTATACGAAAGTTTCTTTATAAGAACCTTATCTTTATTCTACTTTTCTAATTTTGTCAATAGCGGCAAACATAATTATACTTTAGACTGGTGTAGAATCATTAAATAATATAGCTTATACAGCGTGTCGTTACCATCGCGACAATATCAAAATAAGACATAGGCTATAATTTATATATGTATATCTTTCTTTCTGTCTGAATGTTACCTTCAGCCTATTCTACGCAGAGGTAGTCGCGGGCAGCAGCTAGTATATTATAATTTTTGCTAGATTGTAAATACAATTTCAAGTTTAAATTATATTGTTGCAGATCCAACTTCATCCGAAGAAACGCACAACGTACGATACGGGTAAACAGGACTATATTATATTTTATCTCAAGTCAAACATTATTTAAAAACTAACTATATTAAAAACTACGAAACATGAGTTTATGGGAAAGAAATTTTTAACTTTGTAGTGTAGTAATAGCGCCATATCGCAGGTTATAATTGTGCCAAAATATAGAATATCTGTAAAAAAATCTCGCCTAAAACAGTTTCTTTATATAACCTAAAACAATAAGAAGTACCAACAACAATAAGAAGTGAAATTTACTATAAAAGCGTTTGTTTGTGGGTCAGCGCTCTTTGCAAAAAATACATTAAATGCAATTGATGACGGTTTAACGAAAGTACCTGGAGGACCCTAGTCGCGGTGGTCGTGGTTGGTCGCTTTGTCACCAACTTCATCATGCGCATCATCAAATATCACATTTCATATTTTTTTCCAAACGCGCCAAAAGAAGTGTAACATTGGAAACATAAAATATCATAAAACAATTTTTATTTACACGAAGCGTTGTTCCTAGACTGTGCATACATAGCGTTGGACGAGTTCATCCGCAATGTACGTATTCTACCGTACTCTACCGTATTGGGTATATACATCGCTCTTTCTCTTCATATCACCCTTGTATCTCATGTAGCGAAATTTCTGTAAACGTGATGCTTCTTTGACATTTCACGTCTTACTCGTCTTACTCGAATCGCCCATGAAGTTCCACATTAGTGAAGCCAGTTGGAAACAAAAGCGCAACGATTGCAGGCGCGTGGAAGTGATCCCGCGTTTCGAGAGGGAGCTGACGGACTTACTGTCACACGACGGCGACGCCGTCGAGTTTGAGTGCCGGGTTAGCGGTAACCCGGAGCCGGACGTAAAGTGGTATCATTACAGCGAGGTGCGTATTCCAAACAGACGATGGAGAACGGGAGAAGAACCTTAATTGGTTCTAACTGTGGTAGGAGCACGCGACAGTATTCGCTGTTGCACGAACGGGCAGGTCCGTCCGGGTTAGTACCACGACCTCACAGAAGACCGGCGTAAAGTAGAAGTGTTACACTTCTGCGTTTCGTCTGGTGAGTGAGGTAGCCGGGGCCCACATTATTAAAAGGTGGCGCCACATCTGCAATCGGTGTTGCAAATGTCCGTGACCGGCGGCTATCACTTAAGATCAGGTGAACCGCCAGCTCGTTTGCCACTTTCTCACGTAAAGAAATCTGCTTACCGGGCTTCGGTGTGTAATGCCAACGTCAAGGACACTCTGACGCTGGCCTTTTGTGGTATACTATAGTACTTCCAGTAGTGTTTGTGTTGTTGAGTTCAATTCCTGAAAAAAAACCACCGGCCACCAAAACACCGTCAACCCCCTTTGGGTATTTGGGAATGACCAAACCACCCATACCTGGAACAAGTTATCTGTGGATCACACAAATACATGTCAAGTTTGGGAATCGAACGACCACTACTTCGACACCACTACGGTGCTGAAGCCCATGGGGCTCAGGAAATTCCATTAAATTCGCCACTGAGTCATTAATCGTGTAAAACCACGCAGAATGGTTTGTTATATGCGTGATTACCAACTTCTTAGGTTCGATATAGAGACTACACAGTAATAAAGCACATGACAACAAAACCGAAGCACTGTTTGCAACTATCGATTATAAAAGGAACGAACGAAACCTATGCTTGTCCTATTGATGAATATCTCGATCATCACTAAACTTTACGAAGGAACCCGTCACTCGTCACCATCCCACTGTCATTTAACGGGTGAGTTCAGCCGGGTGTCGCTCTGCGCAGTTTATCCGCGACTGTTCGGACTTCGAAACGACGTACGAGCTCGGCACCGCGCGGCTGAAGATCAGACAGGTGACCGCTGACGACGAGGGCACCTACACCTGCGAGGCGCGCAACAGCCTCGGCAAAGCCAAGACCAGCGCCTGCCTCATCGTCTACCGTGAGTTGCCGCGATAACGTCGTTCCCCCGTCGCACATTGTAATATAGAAGGGGATAGCTTTTATCCCAAAGGGATACCTTATGTCTGAGTTTAATTCACATCACGGGATAGAAAGAGACAGCTTATGTTATGTTCTCTTCTCCGAGCTCATTATTCCCCAAGGTACCAGGTGACATATTTTAAAAGAGCGAATGAAAGTCAGGTGTCTTATCAAGGTTTTGGTTGACTTAAAACATCGGTTAACTAACTTCACGAACGATAACTCATGGAGGCTTCAGTAGCTTGACTTGAAAGGCCACCTGTCGCGTGTTGCGAGACAGTATTCTCTGTGAACGTTTAATACAGTGTATAGCGCCATCGCATTGAAACAATTATGAGAATGCTGTAGCTGTTCTATTGTTCTATTTTTAATATCAGTTCTTTCATCAGCCCCTGGCGAGCCGAACACCCTCAGTCAGCGGCTGCGTCGGCCGCCAGCTCTGCTGTCCAGCACCTCCACCCCACGCAGCACACCAGCCCGTTCGATGTCGAGAACTAGAACGCCCGGTGTGTATTGGTCTGCTATTATTCATTAAAAATGCGCATGCTTCTATACGCCCGTGCAATTATGCGATTACTTTTTCCATTTTCTCTTCTATTTCTTTGACTGTCAGCCGTGGGCACATGAGGGTAGGGTGCGGGGGCTGCTCGGTCACTAAATTTAGGAAGAATAAATTTACCTATAACGGAAGTTTTAGGAGTTAAAATAAAAGCAAGAGTTCCTGATTTTTCTCATTTTAGAAGTTTTTGGTTTGAATTTAGTAAACCCACCAAAATCCATTTTAATGGATTTTGGTGGGTTTTTGAATTGCTTCAGGAGTATTTTTTAAACAGTTGGTAACAAGCAAGTACTCCATAGACTAATATATACTGAAGAGCTCACTGACCACTCTCGCGCAGACAGGCGTCCCAAGCGGCGTCACGTGCATACTCGAAGACTATTACGATCCGACTTTGTTATAGTTTTCCATATAAAAGTGTTGTTTTATTACATAATAGTTATACAAAAGTTGTCATTGTTTTGTTTGTCATGGGTGATACTATACCTACTTTACTAATAACTGTGATTTCTATTAGGTACTTACTCTTTTTATCTTATCTTACTTAAATTAATTTTAAGGAAACTCGTGTTGGTTGTATGTTTACTAAAATAATTTGCAATTATATGTTTTATTTGTATAAAATCGAACTGTTGTATGTCCCAATAAATCATAAAAAAATATTGACACTGCAATAAGTACCGAACAGAAGTACCGTCTCTTTGTGGTTTTAATACGTTTTGCTAAATAAAGAAATGCAATAAAGATAAAATAACTACTCGGCTTTAGTGAACAGTAAGGACTATTTTCATGCCGATAATGTCATATGTATTTTCGTATGAAAATATATTTGTATTAATTAAGTCTTCGCTGTGAGTCGTGCTCGCTCTTAACACGTCTACGTAAGCTAATTGTTTATTTACTTTATCAGACATTGTGAATGGTGACGGACATAAAATATGTACGAAGCTGATGTCCTTGTTCAGGTCTCCTAGCCTTTATACAATGAATAAAGAAATATCTTTCGTTTTCTCATTCAGGTCCAGATATGCGGAGCCTCTGCAGCCCCGCCCGTGAAATTGCTCCCAAGTTCTATACTTACCCGTTCAACAAGGTAGCGGAGGAAGGGGAGACCGTTGTGTTCCAATGCGCGGTCAAGGGCCTGCCCGCCCCGTGGGCGACGTGGGACAAGGACGGCATGGTGATAATGCCCTCCTCCAGAATAGCCATCAAGGAGAAGGACGAAATGCTGAGGATCCTGGAGATAGAGGAGGTGCGCAGCGAAGACGTGGGCCTGTATCGGGTCACGTTGGAAAATGACTACGGCAGGGCGGAGGCGTCCGCGCGGCTTGAGGTCATCTCGCATTCGGGAAAGTTCTACTCCGGCGAACGGTCTTACAGCGCTTCCCCGAGAAGGGGACCTCACAGAAGGAGCCTCCACTCGGCTCCAAGGCATGAATGAGGCATTTGCGTTATACGCCAGCCGAAGCGTTTTGTCGAGACGTAAGTATCAATATTGCTTCCAATATCACTTGTCCGAAGCGAATTGGGTACCCAATGAAGAGCGCATTTAATTGTAAACTCTTTTATACATGACAAATTGCGCCTTGCGATTGTTACTCGGAATAGAAACTGACGCTCATTGCATCGACATTTTTGCGAATTAATATAACCCGTTGCATTACGTGTTAGAATTTTCTGATTTCTGTATTGTAATTCAATATATGTATGAATATTTTGATTTCAGGTTTATAAAGAGCATCGGATGCCGTGCGCGTGTAAACAATAGTTTTTTTTTTATTTTGTTAGATTTATTTTGTTTTGCATTTTATGTATGTCTCATAACATAGATATGTATACATAAGATTTAACGTACATATGCGGGAGATTTGTAATAAAGATATTTGTTCTGGAATTAAATATAATTCCAGAACAATCATATATTTATCAAGAGCATAGGGCAAAATGATAATGGGGATAATAATCATAATATGGAAAATTATTGCTATGTTTTGACGTTGATTATATTATTATTAATAACATTGTGTTAAAAATAGAAAGTGTATCATTGTTCAGGAAATAATTAAAGTTTGTTTTTATGAAAGTAGTTTTAATGACAAGGCTTACGGTGCAATAACTAAAAGTAACTGTTAACTAAATTATTAGATATTAATCCAAGGAACAGTTATAGAGATATTGTAAATGTATGTTTGTACCTAATTTGGTATTACCAAATTTGCAACGGCACTATACGTTAATTCTAATAATTTTTAATATCTTAGCGTTGTACAAAAAGTGGACATAGGTACGAGTAACTTGCACGAAATCTCATTTGTTAACAATGTAGCCACTTCTAATTTATTTGTAGCCACTCCTGATTTTTGTGGAATACATTTCATTACTAGTTGCTTATTGTTTTATTTCACATTCCGGTCTAAATTGCAATCCTCTTTGACGCACATGGTCTCTCGGAAATATGTCAACAATACGGTATTAGAATATGAAAAGATCAGTTCAAAAAGAGAAACCCTCCCTGTCCCTTATCGTAGTGAAACGTTAGACACAAACACATTGACTCTGTTGCAATATGCTCTTTATAAACACACTGCATATTTTATTGTTAACTCTTGTTTTATTAATTATAGAGAAATTACGAAGCTGCAGATACCTAATTTTATTTAAACAAGTTAACGGAATATTCAGTTTACTATTGCAGCGAGGTTATTTCAATTTTCGTGTTATAATTTCAAGAAATGATTGAATGAAATGACGAGAACGCTGTTTGCCAGGAGCGAAAATTGGAGTATGTTTAACATATGAAATGAAGTGAAGGGGTAATGTTTTGAATGATAATCAAATTTTACATATTTTTTTTTTGTTTATTTACTAAATATTTATGTTAACATTAACATTTATTTCTTAGAATAGCAACTAGGAAACCACCAAGGTTTATATAGTTATAAGTATGAAATAGCAAAATAAAATACAATAAAGCAAGTAAGCTTAAACTATCAATAAATACAAATACAATAGGGTGCTAAAGCTGTTATGACCTGAGACTAGTTTCATATATATAATTATGTTCATTTAACAACATGTTTGGACTTACTAAGAATTTGAATATTAGCCAAAAATGCCTTAATTTATTATTAAAGTATTTAATTTGATGTGACGAATAAAACTTCTTATTTATAAACAGACATTAAATAACAGATTCCACTTACATTAAAGATATACTTTGGTATATATTTTAGACTGCCCACTACTAGTGACTTACCAAGTTCTACGTTTTAACACTAACAATAATAAATTTATTTCCTTAAAAAACAACAATGAAAACTCCTTAAATTATTGTGCAAGACGCACAGTGCTCACAGCGTACACAATCTTGGGACTCAGCATTTAAGATGGAGTGGTGTTCCGATGCTTCATTCTGAAATATTTAGACATATTTTAATTAATATTAAGTTTTATCAAACGTTTCTAGTTAACCCAATAATGGAGGCTGAAGCGATTGAACTTAAATCAGCTAGGCGAGATAAATTGTTTTGATTTCTATTTGTTGAAACTCTTTAATTACTCGAAGTAAGTATGCCTGAATAACATTACATATTTTCTAAAGGTTTCTTTTTGCGTTATTACTTCTAAAAGCAAAATAAACAGAGGACTTATTGTGGGCTAGTTTTTCGTTGTATTATTGATAGATTGAACATTAGAATTAAATATAAGACAGCGTTTAAATCAGAAGCTCAGTAAATACAAAGCCCAAACGGAACCAATAAAATCAGTCTGATGTAATTATGGGGATGATTTTTAAAAATCAAACACAATATTAAGATGCAGAAAAGGTTTTGAAAGGCACCTTAATCACATAATAATGTTAATGATGCATAAAAAACATTGCGTCGATATGAATATGGTATAAGAATCGTGATATATAAATTTTAGATGCGGTAAATATGTATGATGCACATGCAAAAATGTGTATGGTGTTATTTTTTTAACCTTCAAAATGTTATTGGATCGATAAAGATCCGGTACGCGAAAGTTAGTACAAAGATTTGTCACACGGGCCATAAACAAGGTAATGCTCAGTGAAGCCGATACTTTCGGACACGGAGTACCGGTTTATTCCAACGCCCTGAATACGAGCTGCGTGTCATGATCAGCTGTGCGTATTAAGTAATCGCTCACCGAGTTTGATCACATCCCACGGAATCAACCGTATACGAAGCCGCTGACTGAAAATGCTAAATGGGAAAAGAGCAAACGGTGCGATAGTTTCCAAATCTGTCACATTAGGATTGCAACGATCGTGGCCCCTATCCGAGATACAAATAGATACGCTGTGCCTATTTTCTCAAAGTTTACTCACTATTAGTCTGGATCACGAATGTATATAAATAAATTATTCTCAATCTACTCACGGGCTCATGTTGCGGGCTTTGAACTGGGCTTTAAATATAGTTATGTTTCATTAAACTGATTTATGGTTATTATTGTGTTAGTCGGGAAAGACATACAAGATAAACACAACCTCAAGCGTATTGTTAGTTAAGTGCGAAAAGCCACAAAAAGTCGCAAAAAAGCACCAATTCGCATCAAGGGGATACTCAAATATGTATGTTGTAATGCCGAAATATCGAATGTTCAAAGAGAGAGATGCATAGTCACCAAATACCATCAGCTTTAGGGATTTCACAATTAATACAAATATGAGGCGCAAGCACCGCTCACTCTTAAAACACCTTCAGTGACCTTGAAACTTTTCCCACCTCAATGTTGCCCAACTATGTAAAGTATTCCATCCGTAGATGAAAGAAGTATTAATCTCGAAAAAGTATTCTCTCAAGTTATTTATTAAAAAGCGAAGTGTCCGTGTAAATATAAGAAATTACCATCGTTAGGTTTTCATAAATACGACATGCGTTAGTGCAAATATAAATTGATTACCAGTTCAAGAATAGCGATCGTAAAAATAAGTATACAGAAGACTGCTATATATACTACGTCTAAGTGACTTGATCCGTGGATTCCGCCGAGCTTGCACCATCCTTTTCGTCTACTTGGTTCCGCAGCCGATTAGCTGCTATCATCACCTTACCAGCACGCTGTGGATGTTAACAATAATAATCGATTTGATATAAAATACAAAGTGGATTTAACCAATCGCGAATGCGCTTACCACGCAGCCAATTATATTCCTAGAAAGCCTGCTTCTCAATTAAAACACTACGAATATAATTTGTCATACGCCAACCCATCGTGAAGCTTTTAATTGTTGTAGAACTAGGATTTAATGGGTGATATGTTATGTTTTATTTTTGCGTAATGTATTGCCAGATTGCGAAAATGGTATTGTGAAACCCAGTAGGATGGGTGATTACCAAAAAAATATTAAACAAAAAAAAGCCACAGTCAAGAAAGATGTCCGCTGTAATGGTTAATGGTATGATGACAAACGATGACAACTTTCTAACAGCTGGTAAACGTGACCAATCAATCTTACATGCCAGCGTCCACGGTAATCAGCGAGATATGTTTTGAGATTCTGCCTGGCCCGTGTCATGTGTGCTGCGTCGGCTCCCTTCGGCGGCCCCTCGACAATCCACTTGTGTCTCAGAGCCTCTGTAGCGCTCATCCGGCCATAGGGTTCCAAAACTAGAAGGCTATCCACAAAATTCTTAGCCACGTCCGATACATCCTTGAACGCTGTCTCGTCATAGTTGTAGGTGGCTCGTGTGATATTCGCTGACAGCTCCGGCCAAGTGTTCCCAGTGAACGGCGTAACACCAGACAGCCTGGAGTCAAATTAATAAATTTTCAGAATTACATAATCTATTATTAATTATACATGTTTTTGGCGCATAACAGTTACTCATTGTAGTTACTGATCTACTAAAAGTAATTTCTATGTTATTCAATACCATGGGAACTTCGGTAATTCCCATGATATGCGAATGAAAGAAAAATCTTTTAATGAATATGTTGCTAAGGTACTCACAGAACATAAGTTACGACACCCAAGCTCCACATGTCACATGTCAACGTCAATACGTCGTAATTAAGGACCTCGGGTGCGATATAGTCCCTGGTTCCGTAAATAGCCTTGGTGACGTGATTTTCTTCCAAGATCCGAGCGAGGCCGAAATCTATTAGTTTGATTTGTCGCGAATTGGGGTTCATGCAGATGATGTTCTCTGGCTTGATGTCCAAGTGTACCATCCTTTTGGAGTGAATGTACTGCAATGCTTCGCAGATCTGCCGCACGTAAGGTATAACGTCAACTTCTTTTATGTGTTCTTCGTCGATGACCCGCTCAAAAAGTTCTCCCCCCCATAAGCTGAAAGCATTAAGCCGAGCTGTGATAATATACAGGTAGGTTTTTCTAAGTGTATCCATTTTTTTTTATTAAATTCTAGACAATATAAACAATGTTATACAAAAAATGATAAGTATTTGAAATTACTCGTAATTAATTAATTACATTCATTTAAAAAAAGAATGTTCCAGAAAAAATGATAAGTATTTAAAATGACTCTTAATTAATTAATTAAATTCATTTGAACTTTTCTCAAAATGTGCGTGATTTATGGGCAACTCATTTATTTTACGCGTGATTATTCAAGAACTTACTGCATTGTCAACAAGTTCCGTTTTTTAGGGAATAGAATGGCAATTTTTTTAAAAAACAAGTTTGTTTTTATTTCAATAAACGATTATGCTTGAATTGATACACATTGAACCTCCTGTGTGGATTTAGGCACCTTTAGAAAAACCACCTTATATAAAGATGAGCTAAACTTTTTGGCAGCTTTTTTATCTACAGCTAAAGAATATTCTAAAGTCGTGGTAGCTCCGAGCGTGGTAGTTCACATTTAATTTGGTTCACTCCGACAGCCAGAGGTCTAATTTTGGCACGTTGAATAATTTATTTCTAAATACCAAAGTTTTTGAATATAAGCGTACCAATTATGCTAGAGTCGAGTTGTGCACTATGTCATAATAAATACCTTTTATACAACAGGATGACTTAGCCCAGCGAACCTCGTGTAACACATACTACTACCAGACTGTTCTAATTTGTACTCATATGTAGTTAAATGATCTCCATAATAAACTGCCATTCGTATTTTAGCCGAGATATTTATTAATCAGACTACCTTAGTAGCAGTAACTGTTTATTTACTTACATATCCATGATAAAAATGAAGTAATCATTTCCGTGGTAACAGTCGAGCAACTCGACCAACCTGGGGTGCTTTAACTGTCTTAACATTTCAAATTCTCTCATGGCGGTCTCTCTTCTTTTATCAACCCTGGTCCTCAATAATTTTGCTGCAAAGTAGTGTCCGTTATTTTGCTCTAGGACAAAAACGCTCCCAAATGCGCCGGACCCTATTTTGTCACCAGTCTGACGGAAGCTCTTACGAAAATCTTTGATATCCTTTAACTCGCAAATCTTATACGATCTTGGGGCATCATTGCGAGGTGGTGCTGAAATGTGATAGATTTTTAATAAACTCGTTAATCTTTTGTAATTATATTTAGTAGCCAAATACAAATGGTTTTTATAAAACATAGTTTTCATGTTTGATTTCTTACTTGTTTTTTAAAATTTACATTAAATTACGACTCTCATACTTAAGACAATCATGGTGTACCCATTTAATTCTCAGTCCTTATCGCGTTTCGGTAGTTGATGGCCATGTATATATATGGGGCTAAGTTCTAATTCATGATCGTGAGGTAAAATGCAAAACTCACTTATGCGTACAGTAGATTGGCTGAAGGCATCAACAGGGGTCACAGCCCTAATCCGGAGTTTTAGGACTCTTTCAAGCGGTGGATTTTCCACTTCTATCCGTGGCACACTGGTGAGCCCAGCCTCGTCGAAGCTGCCATTAGATTGCAGGCAGTCAATAGCAAACCAATAATGTGGCTGCAGCATAGCCCTGTAATAATAAAAGCCTTTTTGAAACGTTTTGAGTTTCAAACTATTGAAATAATTGTATTATTAATTTATTAAACGAAAGTTAACAATATCAATCGGATAAATGCCTACTGAACGATTGCAAGGATCTTGGTATGAAACTAATTTTTAAGTTTAATTCTTATGGATAGAAACTATAATCAAAGGGATATTTAATTAGGGTATGGTATTATTATACATCTACGGTGGTAGGGCTACGCATCAGCCTCGGTTGTTGCACGAGTGGGTGGCATGCTCGTCCGGGTAAGTACCACGACCTCACAGAAGACCGGTGTAGAGTGGAAGTATAATACTTTCGCGTTTCGTCTGGTGAGTGAGGTGGCCGGAGCCCAATTTTCAAAAGGTTGTCAACGCATCAGAATCGGAACTGAAGATGAAATCGCATCGGAACACTTAACATCAGGTGAACCGTCTACTCGCTTGGAAACTTTTCAGATAAAAAAAAGTTTTAGTTGTAATATATAGACTATTTTTCTACGGGTTTTCTAGTTTTCTACGGATACTTTCAACGAACCATTGAATAACAATCAGTTGGTCAACGCCTTGATGCATTTGCTCCAGTGCGCTGGTCGATTCCCCGTGTTTTTTATGCACAGAGAGCGAGTCGCAGTTTATGTTACTGCTGCGTTTGGTTACTTCTAGGAAGCAATGGCCGTCTTCTTCCAATCTGCAATGCGGGAATTAGCGAATTAATTGTGTTTGAGTTTATCACTTACATGACCGCATACACATGGTGACGACACATAACCAGTTAAGGGGTACATCCGCATTATGGGGTTGTTCTTATAGCCCCGACCTAATGTTTGATGCAGAACGCTCATCCAGCCCACGGTCGATACCAAATCTCGAATGCTCGTTGGTGACCGCTCCTACCTTTTTACATAACTCCAATTTTGCTTTCACTCTTTCACACACACACACACACACACACACACACACACACACACACACACACACAGACACACACACACACATATATATAATTATTTAATAACATTTCACATTCGGAATATGTTCAATTGTTGAGTGCAAAATGTTTTCACTAAGCGTTGCTTCACAAAAGCGATGAAAGACATGAATTGATTTACTCCAAAATAAAATAATATGCTACAATGAGTTAGAACTAGCAACTTAAAAAGATTTAACCTACTTCAAAAAAGAAGGAGAGAAATTATATTTTTTATGTATGTTCGGGCATAACTCCGACATATATAGACGGATTTGTATTGAATTTTATTATGATGAGTTTCGGAGATAGACAACATAACTCTTGAAATGCGACTGCAAATCAATCGTGATTGCTTCAGTCGCATAAATGCATGCAATGCATCGTTTTGCGCGATCATACAACATAACATCGTATTTACACAATTAATACGCTGTATTCGCATTTTTAGCTGTCATGTTAGTCCATTGAAATGTTACATGAGCTTAACATTTTTTAGAGGAATCAATTTTGTTTTTGGGGTTAATACCCTACGTTTTTGGGGTTGCCGCCCTTGTCCCCCGGCCGCCATCTTGCAAACACAAACACCTTTTTCGCGATATCTCCCAAAATCCTACAAAGTTTCGTTAAGACATAATTTGTCAAGTCTACAGACTCTACCTCATAGGTGGCGAGGAAAAGAGTTAGCAACGAATAAGTAAAGTTGTAGGTAGGGATTTAACAAAAAAAAATTAAAAATGTAATTAAAATAAAATAAAGATCATAAAACTAATTTAAACATTTCTTTATGACCGGATTGGAATGAGCATTGGACCCGCGTGTTAAGCGCTGTAACAGCGTTTAAAACGAATATAATTTAAAAAAAATATAGAGAATTTTTTTTTCGAAAGACCATCTACAAGATTCGACGGAGGTAATTTTTTTGTAAAATGTATAAAAAAAGTTATAGCCAAAAAAATTTTTATAGAAATGTTCTCACTTTTTTGCTTACAACTTCCTTAATTTTAAATTTAGGGCAAAAATTTATAAGAAACATATTGATACGAACACACAAAGAAACCCCCTATTCAATACTAGATGGCATTAGAGGAACTACTTTGGAACTACAGTCTCGAAAACCGGGTGGGTATATTCGCGAACTTTCCGGAATCATGATCACGTTCGCGCAAGTCGGGTACGTTCAAGGAAGGAACTTTCTGGAGTAGTCCGGGGCTCGTCTCGGCCCATATAAAAAGCCGTAGAGAGACGAGCCACCACAGTTCAGTTTGAGCTACCTTCGAGGCAACTTCGGAGTGAAAACTAGTGATCAAGAGTGATACCAGCGAAACCTACGACTTGGCTAGACCTAGGACATCGTTAGTGTTTGGACCTAGTGCCCCTGAAATGGCTCTTCAATTAGTAAGTTTAATTGAATTAATGGAGCTGCAAAGGGCTGAAATTCAGGCAATGAAGGAATCACACGAACGCAAGCTCGGCGCTTTGCAAGAGTCGCAAGAACGCAAGCTCAGCGCGTTGCAAGAGTCACAAGACCGCAAGCTGACTACGATACAAGAGTTTCAAAAGGCTGAAATCAGTGCGATTCATCAGATCTCCTAGAAAAAGCGCTTTGGGCTATAAATGATGTTAGTGACACGGTGATTAAGCTTCGAAGAGATGTCGACGTGATAGAAGAAAGAGTTACCGGGTTAGGATTGGATGTTGAAAATGTGAAAACCGGCTTCACTGAACTACAGAAGAAAGTAGTGCGCCTTGAAACCACGGGAGTCGCGATGCCTAGTGGAACTACCGGAGTGGCGCAAGCACCAAGAGTGAAAGCGCCGCCATACGACGGCACTACTTCTTGGCACGCTTATCGCCGGCAATTCCAGACTGTTGCTACTGCCAACGGGTGGACGGAAGAGCAATGCCTGACCGCTCTTACTGTTGCGCTTAGAGGGCAAGCTTTGTCGGTCCTGGAAGCACTGCCACATACAGGAAATGGGTTCCAAAACCTGATGGAGGCACTTGAATCCAGATACGGGGAGCGACACCTGGAGCACGTGTTCCGTGCCCAACTGCGTGACCGAGTCCAACGTTCAGGAGAAGGACTACAACAATGGGCGTTGGAAATTGTAAAACTCGTCAGGAAGACACATCCAGGAGCCGACACCAAGATGGTAGACACGAATATTGTTCAAGCAAACATTTCAACAAATATCTCATCAGCAGGCAGACAGTTTTTACTGCGTACTGATTACGCAGCCTTGAAGTGGCTACAGCAATTCAAGAACCCAGAAGGTCAAGTAGCTCGATGGATTGAACAGCTCCAGGAGTATGACTTCAAGACGGAACACCGCAGCGGAGAGACGCATGGAAATGCTGACGCTCTCTCACGAAGGCCGTGTTCGGAAGACTGCAAACATTGTGTTAAGCAGGAATCTAATGAAGTAACATTAAAGCTAACGAGAACAAGTCCTTTGGGTCTCTGGGAGAATTATGCTATGAGGGAGGCTCAAGAAAGAGACGACGACCTTCGGCACATCATCACATGGAAGAAACGGAGTGACTTAAAACCAATCTGGAGTGAGGTTGCACCCACTGGCGCTGTCACTAAGGCGTACTGGGCGCAATGGAACAGTCTGATACTTCAAAACGGAATACTCTACCGGAAATGGGAGAAGACTAACGGCAGGGAGTTCCATCTTCAGATAATTGTCCCAAGAACGAGAGTACCAGATGTTCTCCGTGAAATACATAATGGCGTATCAGGTCATCTAGGTGTCAAAAGAACGTTAACAAAACGAGAACGATTCTACTGGTTGCATTGTCGAGATGATGTACAGGATTGGTGCTGCAAATGTACTACTTGCGCTGCTGTAAAAGGACCACAGACCAGGAGCCGTGGGAACCTGCGGCTGTATAACGTCGGTGCACCGTGGGAATGAATTGCAGTTGACGTAGCTGCTTCCTGTAACGGAATCGGGAAACAAGTATTTAATGGTCGTCATGGACTACTTCACCAAATGGCCCGAAGTGTTCGCCATACCAAACCAAGAAGCTACAACAGTCGCTTCTAAGTTAGTCGAAGAAGTGATATGTCGCTTTGGTGTGCCTCTAGAAATCCATTCCGATCAGGGCAGGAACTTCGAATCGCAAGTATTCCAGGAAGTGTGCAGAATTATGGGCATGCATAAGACGAGGACCACCGCGTGCCACCCACAGTCTGATGGAATGGTTGAGAGATTTAACCAGACTCTTGAGAAGCATTTGGCGAAATTGTTAGACGAGAAACAAAAGGATTGGGACAAGTATATTTATTGATTTATTTACTTTATTAGGAAACTTCAAAGCATACAAGAAATGTTTAGCATAAATACAATTAACAAGGATATTTAGCCATTAAGGAAGTTACAACTATATACATTTTTATTTTTATTAATGGTACGTATGTGCAATAGGCGTAATATATATTTTAACCTGTTGTCACGCGCACGCGCGCCTGTGTGTGTGTGTGTGTGATTTGTTTTTCGCGCGCACGCGCGCGCGCGCGTGTGTGTGTGTGTGTCGTGCGTGTGTGTCTCTCTCTCTGTGAGTATCTCTCATGTGTCTTAATTATTAAGGCTTATTCAGGAGTGCTTCAGAAACATTTTTAAGAAACTGCTTTCGTTTAAGATGAAATATGTCAATTTTACCAAACTTAACGTTATAGATGTGCATGCACCTATATAAGACTGAGCTCTGGGCATGCTTTGTTTTTGTAAAAGGGACATCAAATAAATTTGTACCTCGTAGACGGCGTGATTGGATACGGAGACGCAATTTTTAAAAGCCGCACATCGGAAATAATTCTCCGATTAGATAAAGATAAAAGTTTATATTCCCCGACCGAGACATTATAGTCACTTGTGGATTTTTTGTTAAAATAATTTAAAAAGTTTAGAAATTTTTTCTGAAGTTTCTCAATGTTGCGAGTGTGCGTTACGTAGGATGAAGACCAAACGGGTGAAGCGTACTCCAGTGTGCTTCGGACATAAACTAAGTACAAGGGTAGTAGGGGACTTGAACTGCGGAAAACCTTTGATAGTCTCTTGATAAACCCAAGCATTCTAAGGGTCTTATGACAGATGTAATTGAATTGTTCTGAAAATATCAGCTTCGAATCTAAGAAAACACCTAGATCCCTTACTTTCATAACACGACTAATAACAATATTATTTAATTTGTATTTAAATTGTTATCGATGTATCTGACGTCTGAATGTAATTATTTGACATTTTTTGACGTTTTGATTAAGTAAGTTTTTGTGCAATAGCTTGAAAATCTATCGAGATCGTCCTGCAATCTGCAACAGTTTTCAACATCGAGGATCGGATAAAAAAATTTTGGTATCATCAGCGTACATGAGAAAGCGGGAGTGATGAAAGCAATTAGCAATATCGTACAAATAAGTATTAAAGAGCAGGGGACCTAATAGGGCCTTGAGGAACCCCCGATGGAATTGAAGCTTTGTCCGAACAGTAACTGCCAATTTTCACCCACTGAGACCTATTTCTTAAGTAAGAATTAAGCCACCTTAGCAAGTCTCCATGAACCCCTAAATTTTCTAACTTTATAAGAAGTAAGCTGTGATCGATTCTGTCGAAACATTTGGAAAAATCTGTGTATACCAAATCTACTTGAACGCGAGTATCCATTTTGCGGGAGATGAAGTCCGTTAAGGTACATAAATTCGTCTCCTAAATTCGTCGATCTTTGACGCATAAAGCCATGTTGTTCACTGGAAATAAACGAGGATACGTGAGCATAGATGGTTCCATACACGAGACTTTCAAAAAGTTTACTAAAGGTGGATAGGATTGAGACGGGTCTATAATTTTCAGCCATTTGTCTTGATCCACTTTTGTAGATAGGTATAATGTAAGCATCTTTCCATTTCTTAGGAAAAACGCCCTCATTTAGGGATTTATTAAATATTAAACACAAAGGAAGGGCTAGCATTTTGGCACATTTTTTTTCGAACAAAGGTGGTATATTATCGCTACCAGCGCCCTTATTGGTATTTATTCGAAGGATATATTTAAGCACGACTTCGGGGGATATATGAACAGATGAGAGGGTATGCGAATTCAGTTGAATGGAGGTGGAAGACAAATGTGCTGAGTTACATGAGCTATACACTGACTAAAAATATTCGAGGAAAGTATCGCATATGCCTTTACCACTAGTGATTAAATCTTGGTCCTTTAGAATTTGATCCGGAATGCTACTTGGCGTCTTAAGATTTTGGGCAAAATTCCACATATTTTTAGGATTAATCTTTATAGACTTTTCACATTTACTTATATATTTATTCCAGCAGATATCTTGTTCTAATTTTTGCCTACGCCGGAGCAATGAAAATGTATCATAGTCTAATTGATTTTTATAAATCTTCCATCTTCTGTGAAATTTCTTTTTTTCTTTAATTATTTTTATAAGACTTTTAGAAAACCATCTAGGATATCTAAATGGTACACTGTAGAAGAAAGGTATTGAGATTTAGATAATATTGTATAGAATATTATAAAATTTATAGACGGAAGCATCCACATTGTTGCTTAGTAGCGTTTCTTCCCAGTCGACTTGTGACAATTTATTTTGTATTTTGTCATAGTCAGCTTTCTTAAAACAGAAAATTTTCTTTTTGTGGATCTTTAAGTGGAGTAAAACGAACGTCGCATAAAGAAAGTTCTAAGGCTGGATGATGAGGCATGTCTTCCCGAGTAAGTGGACTAGATGAAGTTATATGATTAGATGCGTAGACGAGATCTAACAGACGACCATTGTCATTTAAAATATAGTTATATTGATTTAGACCAGCTGATACGATATAATCCAAAAATTATTGCCTAATACAATTAGTGTTGTAAGATGGAATGTGATGTTCATTTTTATCATCAAAAGCCCACTTCACATCGTCTATATTAAAATCCCCTACAATAAGAAACCGTTCATTCTGGTGTCGACTTATGATACTTTTGAGTAGATTTGTAAAGTGTTCTAAGATGAAATTGTGCCTTCCGTTTGTGCTGGGCAAATAAGCACATATGATTTTAAGTACTCCACCTATTCTGACAGTTATGTGAAGAATTTCGTATGGGCAAGGAGGTAACGTTTCTTGGAAGCCATGAAGTTATTTTTATGTAAGCAAAAGGACACCGCCCCCACGAGTATGCCCCGTTTCTACGGGATCCCTATCACATCTGTGCACGTCATATCTGTTGTCAGAAATTTCTGAATCACTTATTTGTGGATATACCACTCTTCCTTCTGTCGTACCGAACCGCCGAGCATAAAAGCTACCCCGGCGTATGTCAATTACGGTAGAGAACTACGAATTCCAGTGGGAAAACTGCGCTATATACGAGTACACGCCTTGGTTCGGGAAAATGGGTTACAGTCAAGTGAGAACATGAAAACCAGATACAACCGGCTATCGAACACGAGCGGCTTCGGAAAGGGTCACTGGTGTGGCTACATAACCCAACTCGCCGGAAAGGGAAATCTCCAAAGTTGCAAACCAAGTGGGACGGTCCATAAAAAGTGGTTACCCGACTAAATGATGTGACTTATAGGATTCAAAAGCAACCAAGAGGGACATTCAAAGTGGTACACATAGACCGTCTGGCGCGATACCATGGCAGTAACAATGATGCTCGAGACGAGCATCTCTAAGAGGGGTGTAGTGTTACGAACACACAAAGAAACTAGCGCCATCTAGCGTCAACCATTAAAACAACTCATAAAACAAAGACAACATAATAATAATTCAATACTAGATGGCGTTAGAGGAACTACTGTGGAATTTTTTTTCTCTTCATTCTTTCATTTTTTTTCTCATTTTTTTACAGACTCGAAAACCGGGTATATTCGCGAACTTTCCGTAATCACGATCACGTACGCGCAAGTCGGGTACGTTCCAGGAAGGAACTTTCTGGAATAGTCCGGGAATCGTCTCGGCACCTATTAAAAGCCGCAGAGAGACGAGCCACCACAGTTCAGTTTGAGCTACCTTCGAGGCGACTTCGGAGTGAAAACTAGAGATCAAGAGTGATACCAGCGAAACCTACGCCTTGTCTACAACCTAGGACATCGTTAATGTTTGGACCTAGTGCTTTGTGTTGGACCTACGGCTAGTGAATAAAGTCTTCAAAAGATTCAGCAGGTCTTTCTCTCCAAATCCTTCGAACCCTGACACGTAACAATATTTTAGGCAAAGCGATTTTGTAGGATTTATCGCGAAAAAGGTGTTTACACCCCTTTTTCCAAGTTGGCGGCCTGGGGACAATGGCGGCAACACCAAAATCTTGGGGTTAAGATTCTATTGACCCCCACACATATCCGAAAAATAAAATTGGGTCCTCTAAAAAATGCAATATTTCGTAAATTGTAAAATTTTGTATTAATCGTAAATTGTAAAATTTTAATGGACTATGTGTGACTATATTCTATTTTTGTTACAAAGTTTTTTTAAATCCTTTTTTTTAAACTAAAAGCGATCGGAGAATTCTGCCTGTTGATTATTTCATTATTGATTTTTTTCTACCGAATAATTTTGTAATTGTTAGGTCGAAAAACCCGGTGCTATTGGATAAAAATTCCAATTTTTTGTGAAAGTTTTTTATCGATGTGTGTTACAAGGCTTCGTTTAATCAACTGGTTACACTTATATCTTTTCAAAGATATACTATTGTTTCAATATCAATGTATTATCATTCTGTTGATATACAGTATTTTTCTTATTTAGAGTGATCATCGTATAGCTAAGCAAAAACCAAATCCTTACTTATATTATAAAGGCGAAAGTTTGCATGTAGGGATGGATGTTTGTTACTCTTTCACGCAAATACTATTGAATTGATTTTAATGAAACTTTACACTATATAGCTTATATATCAGAATAAGACATAGGCTATAAATTATATACATATTTTATGTATATGTGTCTTTCTGTCACAATGGTACACCTTCAGCCTATTCTACGCAGACGTAGTCGCGGGCAGCATCTAGTAAATTATAAATGAATATAAAAGGAAGTAGCAAGTAGTTTCTTGCACGCAACCATTGTGGAGAGAATTTTTGCTAAAGAGACATAAAGAACAGAGCAGAGGCAGGTGTACATGAATCACCTATAAACATCGGGTGAAGGCATTTATATATCAATGAAATAGTCAAAGATTTCGGGAAAAATAGGAAAAGGAAAGCCTTACTCCAATTAGGAATACAAACCAAATCAGCGTTAGTACTTTCAATCGATATAGGCAGGTGTCGAATAGACGATTGAGTATAACTCTGGAGATCATCAGAGTACAAGTGGTAGGATGAAGATAGGTGAGAGCTTATCGTATTAATGAAGATTGCAAACAGGAGAGGAGACAACACGCCACCTATAAACATCGGGTGAAGGCATTTATATATCAATGAAATAGTCAAAGATTTCGGGAAAAATAGGAAAAGGAAAGCATGAGAGTTCACAGTCCTAAATATTGAGTTTTTAATAGGTTTTTAAAAGAAAGAAGAGACTTAGCTTGTCAAATGTGAAGGGGCAAAGAATTCCACAAATGCACAGCTGTCACTGTAAAAGATTTCTTGAAGAAGGAAGAGGACTGTACAGGAGTTTGGGGGGAGAGATTGACAGAAGTACGAAGGAAACTTTCATGGCATACGGAAAGATACTCGAAGTGATCTTTTAAGTATTTAGGAGTAGAGGGATTAACATTCATTCCTGCGAAGGCGGACTGAGGGCCACTTGGGTACACTGCACTGTGTATGAAAATCGTAAACATGATCATATTTACTAAGCCCAAATATAAATCGAAAGCACAAATTTTGAATTCGCTCAAGTTTATTAAGCTGTACTTCGGTAATGTCCAATATCAGCATAGTCAAGAATGAGCGGAAGTAGTGAATAAGCGAGCGCAACTTTGTGAAAAAAATTATGCAGTCTTCCTACAGAGCCTATGGGCGTCCATGTCAGACAGGCGTTAAGAATAATTGGGAGTAAAGTAGACCAGCCGATTTTAGTGACCAACCTAGAAGTCTCGATGATGATGACTCAAGCCAAGTTTACTTAGGATTGAAAGTCAAACCATAGGCCTTACTCCAATTAGAAATACAAGCCAAATCAGCGTTAGTACTTTCAATCGATATAGGCAGGTGTCGAATAGACGATTGAGTATAACTCTGGAGATCATCAGCGTACAAGTGGTAGGATGAAGATAGGTGGAGAGCTTATCGTATTAATGAAGATTGCAAACAGGAGAGGAGACAACACGCCACCTTGTGGAACGCCGGCAACATTGTTATTCCAAGAAGAGAAAATATCTTGTACCTGAACATGTTGTCGGCAACCAAGCATGTAACTATGAAATCCGTCCACCACAATCGGAGATATGTTGAGAGAACGCAGAATACCGAGCAATATGTCTTAATCTACAGTATTAAATGCATTGCTGAAGTCAAGCAAAGTCAGTACAGTAAGTCTTTGATTATCCATGCCATTAAGAATGTCGTCGGTAATTTACAGGAGTGAAGTAGAAAATAGGTTAGATTACTTATTACCACATACCTGCAAAAATCAACCTCCAGGGCCTCCAGCAAAGGCTCAACTTGACGGCTGTTGCACGGTCCAGCCGGAATATTCTATAACATTATATTATTAACAAATACGTATTCTAGTCAGTAATAGTAAATATGTATTATATGTATAGTCTAGTAAATATGTATTCTAGTCACACGCATTACTTCTTTTTTTCCTACGGCTTTTTATTTAATTTTTCAATTTTTCAATTTATTTTTATTTTTTGTTTCTTAAGCATAACTATAAAAAGGGATAAAGGTACACTATTAGAATTTTTTTCGTTACGATGTGTAATGGAGCTTAGCAATAACTTGGTAAATTTTTATCATATACAATCGCATCGCATACATTTTATTTTTACTCTATCGCTCAATTTTGTACTGCTTGCTAGGGGAATAATTCGCACACTTTCTTATAAAATTTCGCCCTACACTAGTAAATGATCTCCGATTTACTTAGGTAACAATGGGATAATAATTCGCATTTCAATTCAATCCATGACCAGAAAACTATCGTAATATAATTTGAACAAATAGAATGAGTTATGTTAAATAATTTTACAACATTTAGATTTTTTGTATCGCCACTTACATAATTGTACATTAAATAGGACTTCTTGGCTATCTCCGAGCACGTTCTAAAGCAGACTTTGCGTCCCAGCCTTGCTTGCAGCCTAATCAGCTTCATGAAGTAGGTTGGTGGCACTATGAACAGGTTAGTTATGGTTCTGGTCACAAAGATAGATTTTCGACTGGGTTGATAACGGCGAAGCTCGCAGCAAATAACACCAGCCATTTCGGGTACCAGCCGTTTTATAATTAAATAGAATTCGCCGTTGCTGCATACGACCTGCGCGAGACAAACGAACAGCATTACACGGTGCACGTTTTTCACAATCTTGGTGACAGTAAAACAAATTTCTACTATAGAATACCTTTCTATAGTATTTTTTTCGAGCATTTTAAAATAAAAATTATAAAATTTATAAATATATATACTCAATTTTTATTGTTCATTGGTTTATATTGTAACAAATAAAATAACCTAATGCCTTATGAATTTAATTATTCATGCTATAATTCCTTTAAAAAATTTAAAAAAATCTTATTCAGTTTTGAGTATTTTTCTGTTGGCAGTCTCAATGATTGCTTATTTTTGTGATAATTATAATAGTTAATGTAAAAAATAAACTTTACTTTTTTCTTTCAATGGAATAACATAACAACGATATCACGTAAGCGAAATATAAGTTGGACAAGGCTATATTAAGCTCAACCTTAGAAAAGGTATTTGTATGGAAAAAAGACGTATTTATTCAATATAAAAAGATGGCAAGGGAAGTAGCGGTACATCTGATGTTAAGTGATATTCGATGGCCATAGAAATCTGCAACACCCGTAGGGTTGCAGATGCGTTGCCACCTGTTATTTTATTAACAGGTGGCAACGCATGGTGGGCCCTGCCTTGCTCACCAGACGAAACCTGAAAGTATTACGCTCCCACTTCACGCCGGTCTTCTATGAGGTCGTGCCAACGATGTTTAATAATATAAATGATTTATGTCCATACTGCGTGACGTTAAAAAATATTGTTCTGCTTTATATTATATGACATATGTAAAATATACATGACATATATGAATGTGACAGATGATATCATCTGTCACATTTATAATATTGATATGAATTAAATGGAGCATTTTTTTTGTATTAAAATTGGACGGTTTCTTCGCGTCGACGTAGCTTTGAGCTTCAATTAAGGAAATAAAAGAATAATGTAAGATGATTTGGTGGTGCACTTGCTGTTGGCTTTAGCACGGTTTATTAAACGGGACAAGCATTAGTGTGACCAGATGATTGTTCCAGATCAGGGTGTCTGTTCCCAATGAATATTCACCAGGCCGGTCGTATAAAACCTGTCCAATACCACTAACCAGGTGTTGTATCGAACCCATCTGGCTGGGATAGGGAAGAGAATGAGTAGAAAATAATGATAAAAGACACGGTGGAAATCAGACTTATAATAAATTTGAATACTTACATTAAAACGATGATTGGTACGCTCAACTCTGTAGCGTCCGATATGCCACACAACGTAGAAGAACTCAGTATCTTTCAGGTCAAAACTACATTTGAGTGCGACTTGAGAGCCAAAACAGGCTACCACCGTGTCCAAAGGTTTTAACAATGTCGGAACAAGCTTAGGCTTGTTGCTAGTTAGAGGTTCACTTTCTGTAAACAAGTTATCATGACTTAATATACGTAGTAGATAATTTAAAAATACAAAATCGTAAAAAAATAATACCGATGAAGTTAACACGACAACTCGTCGAGTCACTTCTGCCCGTCAATGCGTGGCGGACCGCAATTGTATAATCGGCCGTATCTTGAAAATCGGGATTTAGAAAGGTCATTCCTACGTATCCATTTCCATAGTCTTCTTGCCGTATTTTCCCGTCATTGTCTATTTCAAATCTGTTTTTTTCACAACTCAGCATTGTCTCTGAATCAACCCTGATCCTGCACATAATTCTTAATTCTTCACTTTCGTTTGATTCTATTTCATCAGGGAACGGTTCAACTATGACTGGTATATGATCCCTATTGTCGATGGCGTCCGTAACGATGACTTTGGCGAAACTACTCACGATACTTTGTTCATTTTTCGCTGCAACGTGATAGAGACCAGAATCCGTTTCAACAGCGCACGGTATCGAAAGTGTCGAATAATCATCCCCACTCATAATAAGAGTTCTTTTATCGTTATACACGCCACAATTGCTTTTGTACCACTCATACTCATCGACGATTCCCTTTTTCAACAGTAACTCCAGTCTAATTCGCTCACCCTTGAAAATAGAAATATCTCGGATGTGCCGCAGTACAACAATTTCCTCAGGACATTGTGCGAAGTAAAATACGCTGTCGTTGAGGTGAATGTTCCTTATATTTTTGACATACAGCGCGCATTTAGAATGTAAGCGGGTCCTTCCATCCGTACAAATGATTGTGTATATTCCGCTATCACTCATCGAGACTGGTGAGATCTCGAGTTGGTGCCAATAGTTGCTCTTTAACAATTTAATCCTTTGCGACGTAGTTAATAACTCTCCGTCCTTGTACCAAAATATATCCGTTGGTTGGTTGCTTATGATTTGACACTGTAATACTGCGACGGAGAATTCATCTATTACAACATCCCTAAGTGTGTCTTGTAACTTCATTGGCGCTAATCGAACTTCTGGCAGCTGTGCAGACTTGGCGCCCTGTGATGTTTCCATTTCCATGTTTGATTGCTGGTTAATTATACTTTCGATACGAGTGATAAATAACTCTGGAAAGAAATACGACAAAGCATCACAATGACATTCATGCGGTGAAAGTCATGGTTTTTCGTCCACAAGCGAACTGCAAAAATTGCAATTTAATTCGATGCAGACAAAAAAAATGTGAATGCAATAAATATAAATAACAAATTTGTTTAATTGATTATTTATTTTTAAATATTTTTATGTAAGAAGATGGAATGCGAGCTGGCAGTTCACCTGATATTCAAGTGACAACAGCCACCCATGCACCGAGAGTCACCTCACTATCTAGACGAAACGCTGGAACACTACAATATTTACAATTATACGTATGCATAATTATTATGCCGAATAAAAAAAATTGACGGATCTTATAGAAAAAATACGTCTCGAAATTGTTTCATTTAGGGACGTATATTTAGTGTATTGTATAGTGTATTGCATAAACACTAGAGATCATTATGAAAACATCGAAATCGTTTTATTTACGCAAAATGTGATACAAATGGTGGCTTGGGGCGACTTGAAATGGTGCCTTTATTATTGTCTGCAATGATTCAATATACTTTTCAAATACTATCCGGTTCTGGTCGCGACGCCGCAAATATTACAGAGCCTCGATCGCGGCCGCTTCCACATCATAGTGGTCTAGCGTATGTCGGTCACAACTGCAGTGACTCATAACTTGTAGGAGGTCGCGCGAGGTGACGTACGCAGACTGGACAACACCAAAAACAAACGACTTGCACACCCTATTTTACTAAGCGACTAGATCTAAGGCACGCAAAGCAAATTAATACAAAATGTACATTGAAATGGGTCGTTTCATAAATTCAGCTAATCAATAGTTTCTCTTAAACAATTTAACCCTTCGCGTCGTAGTTAATAAGCGTAATAGTTAATACTAGTTAATAGAGCGCGACAATGTTCTGGTACTCACAGACTAGGCCCTAGAAAATTTGCAATGGTGCCGCTCAGCAGAAGACATCTGAAGGGCCTTTTAGAATTTGGTGTAAGAGACCAGATAAGTTGTGGATCTTCATTCGGTGTTCTTTATTTACCTTTAGACAAATCGTTTGTTCTGTTATCAACCCTCTGAAATGCAAAAAAAAATCAGTTACAATATGTAATTACATATACATAATTATATACTTTACAGTATACTTTTTGCAAAGCCATAATAAATACTATTGCTATGAAAAACGTTAAATTATATAAAATTCTAATATCTTCTATCTTCTTCTACCTATATTATAAAGAGGAAAGATTTGATTGTTTGCATGTATTGAATAGGCTCCGAAACTACTGAACTGATTTGAAAAATTCTTTCACTGTTGGGAAGCTACATTATCCCCGCTTGATATAGGCTATATTATATTTTCAAAAAAAAAAAGGGATCCTTACTAAAACATCAATAATGTAACCCAAAGTGTACAAAAATAACCTAAAATATTCATTACATCGCGTGCGCTGCGAAAACTATTGATGATAGAATAAAATAATGTACCACGAATTTGCAGAACACATCATTATTTCCAAAAAGTGTCGCAAGAGCATATGTATAACTATCATAGTTATGCCACAATAAGTGTAATTTTATTTTAAAATTTTGATTGAAATGCCGCCGCTAGAAAAGGCTCTTTATCTTGTATCTTGGTATTAATCCTTATAAAAATACATTACTTCATATTAAAGACTGTTTCAATAGCTTTATATTACTTATCGAATTATTAAATTCAGACATTCCATTCGAAAGATATCACAAGTTTAAAAATGTTAGTATTTTGTAATTTAACTATCCAAACAGCTTAGTGACTGACTTCGTGGTTCTTATAATTTTTCAATCACATTTATACTGGTAATTCCTGTTTAACAGCTAGCAAATATTTAAGTACAAAGGCTGTATAATTTTTTTTATCATTTTAAAATGGCCAAAAGATAAAGATCTCATCTTTTTAGAAAGATAGCGAGGGCATCAAAAATACGCCGTAATGAAGAATCTTTACCGGAAAGTGTAAATCGTTTTACAAGACAGAGAGATTCAAGTAGAGCGGCTTAAAGAGCAAAATAATATAAATACAAATTCACACTCGAGAATCGAGCTCTGAGCGTTCCCAACGCCTACGAGATGAGAGAGAAAGACAACAAACGTCAACGACTAGAGTTCGTAATCGACTTTTAGCTCACAGTAACAGATCAGCATTAATGCATTAAGCAAACCAAGCAAATCGGAGCAATGAATAAGATCTGCTGTAAGTGTTCTGCCAAAAAATGGGTCGATGAACCAAAAACCAAAAACGGTATGTGCTGTGTTTCTGGAAAAGTTAGTCTCCCAATATTGAGGAGCACAGCCAATAAAAATCTTTTGACAAATGATCAATAACCTGGACATTTTTAACCAACATCCGAAAGTGCAATAGCCCTTTTCAAATGACTTCGTTTGACGCGAACTTTTAAAATAGAGGGACAAGTATACAAGTATCATCAATATACAACAATCATCATCCTCCTGCCTCCTAGGTGGGTTCGGCACAACATGAATCATGTTGTTAGCGGTTTTGGCTATATTTTTACAACCAGCCGCCTGCCTGACGTCAACCCTCCTTGGAAAACAAATACCCAGATCAAATTTCAACTGTGTAACTATCATGGTTCATGAGATACAGCCTGTTGACAGAGGGACAAACAGAAAGCGGAGTCTAAGTAATAGGGTCCCGTTTTACCCTTTGGGTACGGAATCCTAAAAGGCCTCAGAGGTATAGTGTTTCACGGTAGACACGTCCAACTTAAAAGGGTCTCTGAGTTACACAGATTGTATGATCCACTAAAATATTCCTTAATAGTCGTAATAGGAGAAGACAGTTAATATTTGAATATTCCTCGGCAAGGTACTGTGCGTAACAAAACTGTGACATGCATGAAATTTTATGCATTTAGGTTGATGGTTAGAGCTACCTGTTCTAATCCATTGCATTATTACTGGGAATTATTAGGGTTCCGTACCCAAAGGGCAAAACGCACCCTATTACTAAGACTCCGTTGACTGTCTGTATGTCCGTATGTCTGTCCATATGTCACCAGGCTGTATCTCATGAACCGTGATAGTTAGACAGTGTAAATTTTCACAAACGATGTATTTCTGTTGCCACTATAACAATAAATACTAAGAAACAAAAACGTATAAATAAGCTCCCATAAAACAGACATGATTTTTTTGTCGTTTTTATAGATAATGTTTACAGTAGTAGTATTATTGACAATATGTAAGTGTAATACTTCTATACTTCTATTGAATAAAGGTATTAAAACATGATTTTTTAATGTGATAGAGTGGCAAACGAGCTGCCGATTCCTCTGATGTTAAGTGATAACAACTGTGTTGCCAACATTAAAGAAGTGGGCATCGGTTACCTCTCTCACCAGACGAAACGTAGAAGTATAACACTTCTATTTTACGCCGGTCTTCTGTGAGGTCGGTACGGAACCTTTCGTGTGTGAGTTCGACTCGCACTTGGCCGGTTTTTATTCAAAACATTGTCGATATGATGGTAAAAAGATATCAGAAAGATTGAATTACATAATTATGTCGTGATCACCAGAGACTGAGGGCTGGTGAAACATTCATCTTAGAGTCGCCTTAAATCGAGACATAGGCCCATCAAATATCGGTCAACGCGTAATCTGCAACGTCATATTCATTTACGGGTTCTCCGAGTTATCTGCATTAAAAACCAAAGATGCGATGATTTATGTCCGAAGCTATGGGAGACCAGATTTATTTGTCACTTTTACGTGTAACCCCGAATGTCCCGTAATTAAAGCGGAACCATTAACTGGTCAGCGGTCTTTCGATCTTCATGGCGTAATTTCAAGGGTATTTCGTTAAAAGATGAAGAAATTCATAAAATTATTCACCAAAGACGAAATATTCGTAAGGTTTTATGTGTGTGTATGATAACTTTTTGTTAAATACCCGTGCGAAGCCGGGGCGAGTCGCTAGTATATATATAATTATTATCATAGTTTTAGTATTTACACTCCTCCGAAATGGCTCGACCGATTTAGATGAAATTTTGTATGTTTATTCAGTAGGTATTAGAATAGGTTAATAAACAATTTTTATGCCCATAAGTGATAAGGGTGGCTCACCCTAAACATTTTTTTTTTAGTTTTTTGTATATTTTTTTGGTTACTGTTTTAAGGTGTGGCATTAAAAACTAGAATTAATTGATATGGCACAACAACGTTTGCCGGATAATTCTATTCCCCTTTTTACGAAAATTGCGCGGACAGGGGAGTATGAAATTTTCCTCACATATAGTTTATATCGAAAAGGAGTGCAGAATGCTAAAATACAATAAAAATACATTAGATCAATATAGAAAACATTACACACACTACCATGTGTTTGTCTCACACACGTGCTTACTCCTTTGTTTATTGCGTATTGTATTTGAGAATTGATTACTATTGTTAAAAGACATAATTTAAGTGTATTATAAATAATTCCATAGATTTAAATACAATATATATATATATATATATATATCCATTTGTATCCGCATATCGTATAAACAAGTGGACTCCAATTACAAATTAAAGGAACACAATTTAATTGTCAATCCTAATTAATATGTTCCGGGAATTGAGTTGAATTGGGAAGCTAATAAGATATTTCATATTACTAACGTAGTTTACGGTGGTAGAGCCACGCAACAGTGTTCACTGTTCCACGAATGGGCAGGTCCGTCCGGGTTAGTACCACGACCTCACAGAAGACCGACGTAAGATAGAAGTGTTGCACTTCTGCGTTTCGTCTGGTGAGTGAGGTAGCCGGGGCCCACATTACTAAGAGGTGGCAACGCATCTGCAACCCTACGGGTGTTGCAAATGTCCATGGGTAGGCGGTTACCACATAACATCAGGTGAACGGCCAGCTCGTTTGCCACTTTTTCACATAAAATAAAATAGTTCAGTGC